AGGGGCAGGTCAGAATATTAACAAGATTGGCACTAATAGTGAGAATCATTAAAAATAGAAGTTAAAAGGTGCTGGAGAAGTGTGGTCTGCAATGTTGAGATGCTGGAGCTTTGTCAAGCAGCAATGGTCGCCATGCGGTCCATACCACTTATCACAGGAGCACACTTTCTGCTTCTCAGGTTTAGGAGCTTTTGTAGTTCCCTTGTCTTCTTAGAATGGTTCTTCTTCCCGTAATTTCTGCATGTAAATACCTTCTCATTCTTGAAAAGCCTGCTCAAATGTAGCTTCAACTGTGTACCGTTTCAATATATATCTTTAATCAAGTTTTTTTGCTTCCGTAACACCTTTACCAAAAAGCATTCAACATAAACTTACTGTAAAAATTATGTGTGAGTTTGCACCTTTATGTGAATGTGGGCATACTCACCCACAGAATAAATGTGGAGGTCAGATCACAACCTTAGGTATTGGCTTTCGTCTTCTAACTTGTTTGAGACAGGGTCTCTTTGCTGTTTTTCTGCTGCATATGCAAGGTCATCTAGTCCGGGAGCTTCCAGAGAGTCTCCTGATGCCACTTCCCATCTACTAGTAAGTGTGCTGGGATTACAGATGTGCACAACCACAGCCAGCTTTACCTGAATTCTGATGACTCCAACTCAGACCCTCACACCTGCATGGCAAGTGGTTAACCTAATGAGCCATCTCATTAGCCCTCCATATAAATTCAACTGAAACATAACACTTTCAAAAAGTACAGTTCAGTAGTTCTTAAAGTCCAGGATCCTCTTGCCACCACTGCTCAATATGATGTGTCACCATGCCTGGCTTCCTGCTTCAATTCTAATACAATTATTGAAACACTTTCTATATTGAATCGTATAATATTTTTCCTTCGGAATTCAGGCTCTCCCCTCCCTCAGCCCCCAACTTTATGACTGAGATTATGAGATATTTAATAGTTTCAGTTCCTTTGGTCTCATTGCTCTTTAGTACCTAATATTTATTTATTCCATTGCTGATGGTAACAAAGTTGTTTCCAAGTCTGGGCTATTAGTTACTTGTGCTGGTGCTATAACGAAATATCAGACAAAAGCAATTGAGAGAAGGAAGGACTTACTTTGGCTTAGAGTTCTACGAGACACAGTCCATCCTGGCGGGGAATGTATGGGATGGATGGCAGCATTGAAAGAAGGCAGGAAAAGAGGCCATAAATTTGAAAGAAAGCAGCCAGGCGGTGGTGGCACATGCCTTTAATCCCAGCACTCGGGAGGCAGAGCCAGGAGGATCTCTGTGAGTTCGAGGCCAGCCTGGGCTACCAAGTGAGTTCCAGGACAGGCGCAAAGCTACACAGAGAAACCCTGTCTCGAAAAACCAAAAAAAAAAAAAAAAAAAAAAAAAAATTGAAAGAAAGTAAGGAGGGATATATGAGAGTGTGAAGAGGGTGGAAAGGGAAGGGAGAAATGATATAATTATATTAAAATCTCAAAAATAAAAGAAATAATTAAAAGAAAACAAACAGGAAATGGTTGGTCACATTGCATCCACAGTCAAGAAACAGTGATAAATGTGGGTGCTGAGCTTCCTTTCTTTTTAAAAAATTAACTTATTTCACTTTTAATTATGTATAAGTGTCTGTGTGTGGGTATATGCATGAGAGTGGGTGCCCATAGAGGCTAGAGGTGTTGGAGTTACAAGCAGTCGTGTGCCACCTGACATAGGTGCTGGGAATCGAACTCAGGTTCTCTGAAAGAGCAGAACACACACTACACTGCTGAGGCTTCTCTCCACCCTCTTTTCCTTTGCTTCTTACCTCAGCTCACAGACAGGGCCAGAGGCTTTCTCTTAGAAGATTTCAGATACTGTCAAATTGACAGTCAACATTGAACATCATAGAATATTGTCAAATAGTGTTATTTCGAACATTTTTGCTTTTGTTTTTCTGAGACAGTGTCTCATATGGTAGCTCAGGCTGGCCTGGAACTATGTAGAACAAGCTGGTCTAGAACTTGTAGCAATCCCCCAGACTCAGCTTCTGGCAGAACAGAAGCCAATTCCAGGGATGGTCTCAGACATGTTGGGGAAGAACTCTGCCACTGAGATGCACTCCCAACTACATTCAAACATAGTAGGAGTTTAGGAAGTATTTGTAAATTAAGGAACACCTAAAATAATCCTTTAAAACTTAATCTTTATTCATTTATGCTTCTTAAGATGTATGGATATATCATTTTATATTTCTTATGATCATATGCAAAAGCAGATATATTTTAAAATAAAACATCAATAGCAATACATGATCAAAAATATTTCACATTAGGTCATATACTGAAAATACTTAAAGACATTAAATAGTATCTCATGGGATCACATTTTCAGTTATAATTATAGATTCATATGATTAGAAGGCATTCTGGGAACTGATTCAATCTATCACATCCATGAATATATTACAGCAGGACTTAACACTTTAAATCAATATAAATATAGACATTACTTTTTCCTTTTTAAAATTGATTTTCAATATCTGTGTGTGTGTGTGTGTGTGTATGTGTGTGTGTGTCTGTCTGTCTGTCTGTTGTGTGACTATGTGCATGCGTGTGCAGGTGCCTGTGGAGGACAAAGGAGTCTTACCTCCTGGATCTGGAGTTACAGGTGGCAATGGGTCACACAATATGGGCTCCAGGAATCAAACTTTGATCCTACAGAACAGCAATACATGTTCTTGACTATTGGTGAAACTATTAAGGCCACTCCACGTAGTTAAAAGGGAGGTTTATTTTGTGGGGTAACTTACAAGTGAAGGGATAGGCTACAGGGTCTGGGAGAGGTGTGGCACAGTCCAGTGGTGTTCTCTGGAGAACTCTGCTCAGTCTAGCTCCAGCATCCAGGGTCCAGGAACTAAGAGAGCCAGGGCGTCTGGATCTGGGGTCTTCAGCGTCCTCTCTCAGCCCCGCCTTGTAGGCGTGACCATTACCGAAGCCTCAATGGGGACTGGAACTTCCAGGTCAAAGCTGGCATGGCTATCCACTACACTTGACTGCTGAGTGAGCTCTCTAGCCCCAAACAAACAAACAAACAAACAAAACCCTTTTTAAAAGAGCAGATTTTTTATCCTATTTTATGAGTGTGTTGTATCTTCAATGTATATGCACCACAAGAGTGTCTGGTATGAGGATATCAGAAGAGGATATTGAATTCCCAAGAACTGGAGTTATTAGAGGTTGTTAACCACCATGTGGGTGCTAGGAACCAAATCTGTGTCCTCTATACGAGCAACAAGTGCTCTTAGCTACTGAGACATTTGTTGTTGGTTGTTTTTGCTCTTTTTGGGGGCCCACCACCCAGCTCCCAAATAAATTATACACAGAGTCTTATTATTACTTATAAATGCCCAGCCTTAGCGTGCCTTGTTTCTTGCTGCCAGCTTTTCTTTTCTTTTTTTTTTTTTTTGGTTTTTCGAGACAGGGTTTCTCTGTGTAGCTTTGCGCCTTTCCTGGAACTCACTTGGTAGCCCAGGCTGGCCTCGAACTCACAGAGATCCGCCTGGCTCTGCCTCCCGAGTGCTGGGATTAAAGGCGTGCGCCACCACCGCCCAGCTTAAAAAATACATTTAAATATTTTTAAAAATTATTTTTAACATGTGTTTGGTTGGAACCTCCAGCTCACTCCTGCATGGTCTGAGAAGCCCTATCTCTCTCTCTCTCTCTAAACCCTGCCCTCTCAGAGAACCCTGAACAAAGGTTCAAGGCACCAAAAAGCCCAGTTCTGCATTCTTGGAGGCTGTGGCAGCTCCTCCCCTGAAGTTGCCAGCAGCCTAAGACCCCTCCTAAAGCCGTCAGTTTTTGACCATACTTGGGCACAAACCCAGCTTGTGGCAGACACGTCATCACTCCTCTCCAACAGGTTCTATAACCTCCCTGCTTTAGTTCAGGTGCATGATTTCTCCTGCCTCAATCTCTGGGGCTGGAGACCTCACCTGGGAGTTGCTTTACTCAAATAAAACTGTTCTTTTACTTTTTCAGTTTGGCTTGATTTGGCTTACTGTGTCAGCAGAGAAACCTATTAGCGCAATACAGAAAACCTATTAATGTGTACTACTGTTTTGGCTGCATGTATGTCTGTGCACCATGTGTGTACCTGGTACCTAAGGAAGCAGTAAAAGGGTGTCAGATCCTGTGGAACCGGAGTTACAGACATTATGAGCTACCACGAGTGTTGGGAATTGAACCTGGGTCTTCTTGAACAGCCAGTGCTCTTAACCACTGAGCTATCTCTCTAGGACCTTGAATTATTTCTTTGAGGTAAAAACTTCACACTTTCTTCTAGTTTTCTGAATATACCATACATAGTTATCTATAGTTATTCCACTGTATACTATCACACGAGAGCTTCTTACTCTTATCTACCTATAACTTAGTGCCATGAGTCAAACTTCAGGCTTCTCTACTTCTTATCCCACCTCTGGTAATTATTTATTGTATTTTCAACTTCTCTCAAGTAAGTCATAGGCAGCTGTGTTAGTTTAGGTTACAACTGTTAAAATGAAATACCATGATCGAACAGCCTGGGGAGAAAAGGGTCTATTTGGCTTATACTTCCATAGCACTGTTCATCTTGGAGGGAAGTCAGGCCTTGCTGAGGCCAAGGAGGGGTTGCTTACTGACTTGCTCATCATAGCTTGCTCAGCCTGCTTGCTTATAGAATCCAGCCCAGGGACAGCACCACCCACAATGGGCTGGGCTCTCCCATGTCAATCACTTATTAAGAAAATGCTCTACAGGCTTGCCAACAGCCCAATCTCACAGAGGCATTTTCTCAATTGGGATCCCCCCTTCTCTCAGATGACTCTAGGTTGTGTCAGTCAAGTTGACATAAAATTAGCCGGTACAGCAGCCCTAACCTTGTTTAGCTTCTGAGATTGGACCAGATCTGGTGCCTTTAGGGTGGTATGCCCCACAACTACTTTCAACCTCTAAGATCAACTTTTTTTTTTTTTTTTTTTACTTCACACATGAGATCATACAATTCCTGTTTTCATGTGCCTGATTTATCATAATCACCAGTTCCATTCATACTGTCAGGAATAACAGGATTTGTGACCACCAAAGAGGGTCAGAAAGTGGCTTAGTGGGTCAGAATATTTGCTGCCAAGCCTGACCACCTGAATTCAATCCCCAGAATTTCCATGGTGGAAAAAGAGAACTGATTCTGCAAGTTGTCCTGACCAGCACTTTTGTGCTATGCATGACTCACCCTGCATACACACAACTAAATGTAACAAAAACAAGGAATGGGAGGACTTCATTTTTCTTAAGGCTCACCAGTTTTCCATGTATATATATCACATTAAAAAGAAGTCCATTTATTGGTTGACACTTAGCTTGCTTCTACTTCTTGGCAAAAAAACCCAAAAACCAAAAAACAAACAAAAAAAAAAACCTACTTCAAAAAGTCTTTTACCCAAATAACCTCAATTTTCTTTATCCTTATACTATTCTATAACTGGAAATTCATACAACCATACAATAAAATTCAGTGCAATCAGTGGCAAACATGAAGTCATTATTATCTAAAGATCAACACAACCAGCAGGGTAGCTTATTACATAAGCCTAATTAACAGTTGTCAAGATGAAGTATTAAAAATAAACACCCAAACCCTTTTTTATGAATATGCATAACTGAGTAGAAACACCTCAGTCCAAGAAAAGAGGTGAGGCAAAACGAATTAAACACACAAAGCCTTCTCATCTTAAGAAAAGTTGTGTCTTTCGCACGATTAGGAAAAGTCTAATTTATAGCAGGTTTTATGATTTGATTGATACTTAACTTACTGACTTACTAAATTTTAGAACCTTGGGCAAGGCAAGTAACATTTCCTCATTTATAAACACCCTACAGTGCTTTTGAAAAACATCATATGCTTGCCAAATATCACACATATGTAGGTGGTGTGGCACTTGCGAGCGGTTTTCTCCCGATGCCTGCGCTTACTCTCCTCCAGCGCCTTTTACTTTCTGATTAATCACTAAGTCTTGAGTTTTTTCCAGGCTAAGTAACACCCGGTCACTTTTGAGTACAGGGCGCATGAGCTCCGAGGGAACTCTTCAGGTGACACTGCCCGCAACACCGAGGTGAACCGGCTGTCAGAAAAACTACCGAGATTCCTTTTTGCTCAGAGCTCAGGACGTACTTCAGAGACTCGACACACGCAACCCGGAAGAAAGGAACTTCCGCCAGACCCAGGGAGGGTGGGTTACACTGAGAAACAGAACCGGAACAGGAGGGAATGACGCCAGCCCACAGAGGAAGGTGTCCGGAAGCGCCGGGGGACTACAGTTCCCATAAGCCCGCGGGGCTAGGTGAGGGGCAGGCGTCGAGACATAACCGGACAGGCCTTGCCAGTCATTTGGCTATACCAAGGTAAATGCCGACACCGCGGCTCGAAGGGAAGAGCTGACTTACGGTTCGCAACTAGATTGTGCGAGTAACCCTCCCAACCCATCCTAAACCGACAAAAATGACGCGCCCAATAGGGCGTCCTTGAGATTTCCGGGCCACGGGACCCCACGCCCCTGCGAGCTTTCCCAGTGCGGACGACGCGGGGATTGTGCTCCGCCCGCGCGCGCCTCTCCACCCCTAGCCTCTGGCCCGGCAGGAGGTGGGCTGTGCCTGACTCCGGGGCGTGAAGAGTGGGGCGCAGAGGAGTTGAGGAGCAGGCGACCTCCGCTCATCTGTGCTCGCTCCCCCGCCGCCCTTGGCGGAGGCGGTGAAAGCTGTCGCAGTCCGGTGGGCCGAGGCTAAGCAGCACTTCCATCCGTGTCCTTAATCCCCCTTCCTACCCTTTAGCGTGGTGTAAATCCGCAGGAGGGGCCGAGCGACTTGCCCTAGGTCACAGAGATGAAGTGGCAAAAAAAAAAAAAAAGGAGGTTTTGAAGCGAACTTTTCATGACTCAGTACCTTCCAGAGTTTAACCCGAGAGGGGCCAGGGGCCAGGTTTGCGGACCGCGGACTGTTTTTTTTTTTTTTTTTATTAAACACTAGCGGTATCCAGGGGGCACCTTTGGGACCAGGTGTAGAATCCTAGCGCGTCACCAGCCTCGGTCTCCCCAGCCGGAACATAAACAAGCCCAGGGTCCTCCGCAGAGCGACCCCCGCCGAGGCGCCCGGCAGCCTCTTTCCTCTCCTCGGAGAACGTTCCGTCCGCGCGCGTCACCGCGGCGAGGCGGGTGGGTGGGGTTTGCTGCACCGCGGCGGCGGCGGCGGCGGCGGGCGGCAGCTAGTGGGTCCTCCGGTGACTCCGGGGCGGGGCTGCGGGGAGGGTGCCCCCCGACTGAACGGCTGCTCCGGAATGGGGGGTGTGGCTGGTCGGCCAGCATCATCCGGGTGGGAGAAAGGGTCCGCTGTTACGGGCGGCGCAATCCCCAAGGCCTGCTGCTAGAGATGCTCTTCCTCTCGGTGAGTTGTTTTGCTGTTTTTGTTGGCTGGGATGTACTCGTAGTCACGCCCCACGCAGGAGGAAGGAACAGGCCACCTTGGTCGGTGTGGCCTTGATTGGACTGGGCAAAGGGGAATCGACCAGCTGCTTCGCCCGGCCTCCTCACTTCGGGCTATCATAATCCGCGGCTGCGCTCGGTGTTCAGTTTCATGCAGGCTCTTGGGAAAGCTGGTGCTGCTGCTGCTGTCTGATTCCCGCGGACAGACCTTGGGACCGGGGCCGGAGCTGGCAGCTGGAGATGGCGGACACGAGATCGGTGTATGAAACCAGGTTTGAGGCGGCGGTGAAGGTGATCCAGAGTTTGCCGAAAAATGGTACGTGCACTGGGCTCCCCGTTAAAGCCTCTCAGCTGGTTCTGGTCTTCTTTATTTAGCGTCCTCCTCCCATTCAGTCATTAAAAGGAATGTAATTGAAAGGATGGTCTTGAGTGTGAGTTAATTAACCCATGATCTTTGAGGCCAAAGGCGAATGTGTTATCCAGATTTTAAGTAGTGTATATCGTTGAAAACAAGCCTTCTCACTTAATAACTGTGTATTTGGTATGTTAAAAAAGAGTCTGGGTATGTATTCTGTTAACAGTTTGCAAAAGTTTTGTAATTTTGTCTGGACAGTGTTAAGGAAGTTTTTTCCATCACTAAATTTTATTTTATTTTTCTCTGTTCTAAGTAGAGAGGCTTGGGAAGGGAGACTTTTACTTTTTAAATTTATATCCGTTTGCATTATGATTTACATTTCATAATAAATTAGATTAAAAATTATCTTAAGCATTGTTACCGTGTGTGCTGGATTTGTAGGCCAAGTCAAACATAGCGTTGTTATATTACTATAGTATTTAATGTCTTCTCTCGTTTCATTTATCATCTTTTGGCTAAGTAATGAATAGTCAGCATAGTTCATTTCAATAAAAACTCTTCAAGTACAGTTTTGAAAGCTTGTAGGGCATAGGTTACCATGTACAAAGCCCTGATTCAGTTCCGACACCCCTCCAAAACAGTGGCCCAGGATCTTTGGAGGATCAAGAGGGCTGGAGATATGGTTCAGGAGTGGAGGGAGCACTTGCCTAGTGTGTGTGCAAGCTCTAGGCTTCCATGGTGTTTTATTTTATACCTTTAACATTGTATTGGAGGAGAATACATGGAAAACTAAAGGGTAAATACAAATCAGCTAAATGAAGGAACTAATAAACCCAAGGTGGTGGTGCATGCCTTTAATCTCAGCACACCAGAGGAAAAGGCAGGTGGATCTCTTGAGTTTGAGGCCAGTCTGGTCTGCATAATGAGACCCTATCTCAAAAAACAAAAAAGGAAATAATATAGGAATTCAATTAGATATTGATATTTTAAAATGCTCAATTAAGAATATTCATAGGAAAGTATGATTTAAGAGTTTTATGTAAGGAGTGTGTTCACTTTTTTCACTTTTTTTGGTATTTTGAGACAGGATTTCTCTGTGTAGCCCTGTCTGTCCTAGAACTTACTCTGTAGATCAGGCTGGCCTTGAACTCACAGAGATCCACCTGCCTGTGCCTCCTGAGTTCTGGGATTAAAGGCATGCACTACTACTGCCCAACGAGGTGGTGTGCTTTTCTAAGCCATGCATTTTATAATTTTTTGAAAATTGATAAGATAGACCTAATTTTTCAATCCTTCCTACTTTATTATTTTACACTCTACTTATTATGAAGAAACATGTATATATATATAATATATATAATATATATATATACATACATACATGGATTGCATACAAATATAGATAATGGATTGCAGGCCAGCCAGTTTGGGCTACTGTTAAAAAAAAAAACAACAACAAACCAAACCAAAGTATTGCAAAATGAAGATAAACTTGTTCAGTGGCCCTTGTGACAGATGTGGTGGGCTGTAGCTCAGTGATAGAGGTTGCCTGAGCCCTTGGGTTTAATCCTCAACATTTCAAACAAAAAAGGGTAGGGAGCAGGCATGGCTCAGTGGCAGAGTAGGTATTTAGCAGGCGTAAAGCTATCAATAGTACAGACAGAAAGACACCTCTGTGCTGTCCCGAAAGCTAATTGATATTGACTGAAGCACATTTGCTACAATGAATATTTAAATTTTTTTTTTTTTTTGGTTTTTGAGACAAAAATTTACTATGTACCTCAGGCTGGCCTCAAATTTGGGAGATCCTCTTGTTCCTGCCTCCCAAATTCTGAGATTATAGGTATGCTCTACCATGCCTGGCTTAGAATACTTTATTTATGTATTGCTTGTTTATTTATATTTATTTATTGGCAATGTTGGGGATTGAACCTTGGGTGTTGATCATCCTGAGCAAGTTCTCTACCATTGTGCTTTATCTCCAGTCCTATTTTAAATTGTTTGGTTGGCTTTGAATTATTTTACAATGAGATCTTGCAGCTTTTGCTATTTATTGCCTAATATTTATTTAAAGCCTAAAGTAAGGAGTGGCTAGAGAGTTGGTTCAATGGTTAAGAGCACTTGCTGCTTTTTCAGAGGACTCAGGCTTGTTTCCCAGCACCCATGCCACCGATAACTCCAGCTCTGGGGGATACAATGGCATCTTCTGGCCTCCACAAGTACTGGCATGCATATGTATATACACAGGAGCACAAATGAAAGTTATAAACAAATCTAGGTTAATGAATTATGTAAAGTATGTGTTTGATAGACCCTTAGTAGACATATAAATTGTTAGATAATAGTTCAAACACATATCTTACTATGTCATAGGAGCATCTTTGGACAGAAGTAATGCTATCTTATATGTAATATATTCAGTATATGTTCTCAGTTTTGGCTTATATTCACTATAATATGTACCATTTACTTAAGCTAATAAACTTGTAAATTTTGTTAGCTTACTGAAGATATGAGATGAAGTTGTTTAATTAAAATTTTTATTACACTTGTGTGTGTGTGTGTGTGTGTGTGTGTGTGTGTGTGCGTGTGTGCGCGCACTTGTCTCTACACTTGTCAGAGGACAACTTACAGAAGTTAGTGTTCTCTTTCCATGTCTTGGTTACAAGTGCCTTAGCTGTGTGGAGCTGTCTCACCACCCTGCCCCTTTTTACTGTTTTTGAAATTTTAAATTTAGATTTTCATCATTAACTCATTTTAGCTGTGGTTTTTCTATTTTATTCTTTGCTGTATAAAGAGTAACAACCTTGTTGAGATACTGTGTCTAAGACATACTCCTAAATGTTCATATATTATATAGGTAATTGGTACTGTGATTTTGGAATTAATTATACACTCTTGACCAAACCTGAACTACTAGTTCTCAATTTGTATATGTTGTAATTTCTAGTTAAAAAAAAACAACAAAAACTACTAGCTTTTGATTACTTCATGTTGTACCTGATATATAATCTATTATCTTTAAACTACCTTTATAATTATTATTTTTAATAACAGTTTCCATTTTTAAAAGTAATGAGCACTAAGATGGAGAGATGGCTGAGCAGTTAAGAGCTTTGTTGCTCTTCCAGTGGTCCCGAGTTCAGTTCCCAGCACTCACATCAGGAGGCTCACAAATTCCTGGGACTCTAGCTTCAGGGGATCCTGTGCCTATGGCCTCCCACAGGTCCTGCACTCACATGCAGACACACACTTACATATAACAAAACAAACAACACTGAATTTTTTAACAGAAAAAGGGAAAATGAAATAACAATCTGCATCCCTACCTACTATCCAGAAACATCCCTTTTTAACATTTTCATGCATATTGTGTTGCACTTCTTGGTAGGAGATAAATTAATTCACCCACATGGCAACTCACAACCATCTGTAACTCCATCTCCAGTGTATCTGACACCCTCTTCCAGCCTTCATGGGCACCAGACAGGTACAGAATACACAGATATACATGCAAGCAGGCACAACAGTCTCACACACACTAAGAAGGGAAAAAAAAAACCATATACAGTAAGACCTAAGTAAGGTGGTATGTGTGTGTGTGTGTGTGTGTGTGTGTGTGTGTGTGTGTGTGTGTGTGTATAAAGAGTACAGAATACCAACTGAAATTACCCATCTGTAATCTCAGCACTTGGGAAGCAGAGGCAAGAGGATTACAGGTAAAGGCCAGTATGGGATGAACAGTGGGGTTGCATAGTAAATTCCAGGTCAGCGCAGTCTACAGGGAAACTGTGTAGCATAAGTGAAAAAGCTGCATGTTTACTTTGATTATTAACATTTTAACAGTAAATATCAACTTCTTGACCAAATTTCAAGTTTTCACTAGACAAAGAACTTTGGGAGAGCCAGTTAGTATGAACTTTGGTTAATAATAATAATAATATAACAGATTTCTCAATTTATACCTCTAAGTTTGGACACATTAATTTCTTTGAAGACATTTCTTCATACATTTCTTTTTAATGAAATATTTGCTGGTTATTTCAGTTATATTTGTAAAATGGTTGCTAATTTATTTATTGAACTGATACTGTTCTTAAAAGTTTAAACTTTCAGAACTTTTTGAACTCAAAGGAGAGCAACTAATACCTGATGTATTTCAGGTTGAAATGAATTATCTGAATTATAAAGAGATGTAGCCCAGGTGTGATAGCTCCTGCCTTTATCTCAGCACTCAGGAGGCTGATTCAGAAAGATTGAGTTTGAAGCCAGCTTGGGTTACTTAGCAGTTCCAGGCAAGCCTGAGCTACAGTGTTAGACTCTATCTGACTAAAACCAAATCAAACAAGAAATCCACTATTAGTGTGGTGTGGCTAAGCTAATACACAGCTTTACATTATGATTTATAGTCCCAAGTGATCTGTATTTAATGTTTGTTTCCCACAGGATCATTCCAGCCAACAAATGAAATGATGCTCAAGTTCTATAGCTTCTACAAACAGGCAACTGAAGGACCCTGTAAACTCTCAAGGCCTGGGTTCTGGGATCCTATTGGAAGATATAAATGGTAATTTCATTTATAGAGCTAAGAAAGAATTGTCATTCAAATCAATTAATTGTACAGCTGTTACTTCTGTGTTTTGTGCATAACGCATCCTATATATTGCTCACACTTTTGTTCTCTAAGTGTCCTTAATACACTTTTGTACAATTAGGAAAACAGCAGTGTTGTAGGTAGGTGCTCTACAGAGAGAAAATGTTCGCACTTAGTCTCCCTTTCCTTTTGTGGAGGTCCCTCCCTCCACCCCTAGATCAGTACCCCATAGTAAATGAAAAAGTTTGCTATTGGTAGTACAACTCAGTAATTCTAGCAGTCCGATATAGAGGCAGGAGGATCAAGAATTCAAGGCCATCATTGGCTACATAAGTGAGTATGAGGCCAGCCTGTACTATATGAGAGGGTTCCTCAAAAAAAGCAAAAACCAAACTTTTTTACTCTTTGAACTGCCAAAGAAAACAGTGGCCTTTGCTTGTATAGTGAGTTGTTTGCTTTGAGACTGTAAGGTAATGTGTAACTAGGCATGACTTGGATGCTACATTAACTTTGGTCTAAGATGACTTCTGACCCAGTAGACTTGAATAGAATATTGGTTTCTAATGTTATAGTTAAAACGAGTCATTAAATATATAGATGCTGTACCGTTTTCTGAATTGACTAATACTTGTGAACAGTTTGATATGTTTACTGCTGCAGATTTACAAAATGCTGACAAAAGTTAATTTTAGATTATACTTTATCAATAGAGTATGGTAATTAGTGCATCATGTTTTTCAAATAATTAAGTTACTGGGTTCACAGATGGAAATTATTTTTTCCCCTGCAGTTGACCTTTGGCAGAGTTAACTGCTTAAAAAAAATTTATGAAGAGGGGATTTGTGTTATTTTTTGGGACAGTCTCATTCTAAAACTCATATGTAGCCTTGGACTTTTGCTTGCTCTCTCTACTTTCCCAGTGTTGAGGTTATAGGCAAGATTACAGGCATGAACTACAATACTCAGTTTATTCCGTGCTAGGGATTGAACCCAGGGCCATGTGTATGCTAGGCAAATACTTTTATCTACTGAACTACATCCTCAGTCCTATTTCATCTTTATTTCTAGTATATAAATTAGTTATACATGTTGGGGAATATTATTTTAAGGTATGTTACTTTTGTTTATGTTGCATTTGTTTAACTCTGTGAAGCTGTGTTACTTTGCCTGTCTAAAACACCTGATGGTCTAATAAAGAACTGAACGGCCAATAGCAAGGCAGGAGAAGGGATAGGTAGGGCTGGCAGGCAGAAAGAATTAATACAAAGAAAGAAGTAACCAGAGAAGGAGGAGGACATCAGGGGCCAGCCACCCAGCTATATGGCAAGCCACAGAGTAAGAGTAAGATTTATAGAAGTAAGAGAATGGGAAAAGCCCATAGGCAAAAGGTAGACGGGATAATTCAAGCTAAGGGAAGCTTGCAAGCAGCAAGCCAAGTTAAGGCTAGGCATTTATCAGTAATAAGCCTCCATGTGTGATTTATTTAGGAGTGAGGTGGCAGGCTCCCCCAAAGAGCAAAAACAAACAACAACATACACATTTAAATTAATGGGAAAATTTTTACCAAAACGTCTGTTTATGTACAACATGGCTTTTACAGTTCTTATAGTCTTGTAAACGATTTGTTATTGTTACTATTCTTTATAATGACATAAAAGCTTTTTTGAGGCTGGAGAGATGGCTCAGTGGTTAAAAGCACTTGGTACTCTTGCAGAGGCCTTGGATTAAGTTCCTTGCACCCACTGTGGGTGTCTTACAACTGACTCCAGTTCCAGGGGAATCTGATGCCCTCCTCTGGCCTTTCAGAGCAGTTCCTTGAAAATGGTTCACATGCATACACTCAGGCTCACATACATACACACAAAAATTAAAAACAGATAGATCTCAGGTTGGAGACATGGCTCAGTGGTTAAGTGTACTTACTTTTGCAGAGGACCTAAGTTTTGTTCCCAGCACCCAACTGCCTGTAACTCCTGTTCCAGGGAATCTGACAACCTTTCTGGCTACTGAGTTCCTGTACAGTAGTGTACATAAATAACTACAAACATACTCACGCAAATAAATTTTTTAAAAATCCTTAACTTTTAAAGGGTCCTTAGGATATATTTATGAATAGTCTATAGTCTTCTGTGGTCTACACATACGTGGATAGGTTGGATGCTTAATGTTTAAAATCCTCTCTCTTATTTTATATTTTCAAAAATAATTATGAAAGGTTATGTAAGGCTGTTGCATGCAATAGACTTTACGTACATTCTTCCGGACTCTCCTACCGTCCCTTCTCCCTCCTGTTTCCTCTCCCTGTCTTCATCAGTCCCCTGTCTCCTCATTTCACTTACCTTTATGTCATCAGTACAGACATGATTTTATGTACAAAGTTTAAGCTCCATGAATGAGAGAAGATATGATGCTTGTCCTTCTGAGATCGATTTAATTCACTTCATATGATTTTCTCTGGTTGTATCCATTTTCCTACAGTTAGCATAACTTCATTATTTAATAGCTTTAGGCATGAGCTAACATTTCTACTTCAAAAATCAAGTGTCTTTTGTTTTTGCTTTTATATTTTCATTTCTAGGGATGCTTGGAGCTCATTGGGTGATATGACTAAAGAAGAAGCCATGATTGCATATGTTGAAGAAATGAAAAAGGTAGGGAACTAATTCATAGTAGAGAATGAAAATATTTAAAGCAGCTTGAATTTACCTTTGTCGTGTGTGACAGTAGTCGGGATTGAACCCATGCTAATCAGCTACTCTACTATTGAGCTATATGTCCAGCACCTCTAATTTAATTTACATTTTTTTTTTTTTTTTTTTGAGACAAGGTCTTATGTAGCTTAAGCAGCCTCAGAGTTGACATGTGGCAGAGATGACCTGGCTATCTTGCCTCTACCTCCTGAGTGCTGGAATTACGGACAGGCACCACACAGCCCAGTTTGATGTGGTGCTGGAGATAGACTTCCATGGCTTCATGCATGCAAACCAAGCATATTAACTAACTACATGCCCGGCCTTGTCTGATGATCTTAAAGAAATTGCTTTTGAACATAAAGGAAATCTGTAATAACTGAATCAGTCTCCCGATCCCCGAGAGGATTTTTAATAACTTTTATTTGGATTATTCAGAATGATATTTTTCTGTTTCTTTTATTAGTATTGCCTGTGCTAGTCTTTGTTGTGCCCTTTGCTCCATTTTCACAACTTTTGTTTAGTGGACTTTAGAACAGAGGGCAGAGTTAATTCTCTTAGTGTTATCTGTATTGGTAGCACAAAAACAAAGGAGCCCTTCAGAAGCAGAGAGAAGTAAAAGGCATTGTGGCTTGATAATTTTTTCTTTTTGAAAAGTAACACTTATTTGTGTGTGTGTGTGTGTGTGTGTGTGTGTGTGTGTGTGTGTGTGTGTGTGTGATAGTGCATGTGTGACACTCAGAGGACAGCTTGTAGGACTTGACTCTCTCCTTTCACTGTGTGTGTTCTGAGACAACCTCAGGATGTCTGGCTTGGCATCAAGTGCCTCTACTCACTGAGCCATCTTGCTGACCTCTTTCTTCACTTTAAATAGTGTATAATTTTCAGGCTACATTTCTATAATTCAATATAAAGTTGAACTGACATAATATTTATCCATGGTTTGTTAAATAATGGTTTTATCCACAGTTTAAAGTAAGAAAGGGAGCTAGGAGCCGTGACTTGTGCTTATAATTCCAGCAACCTAGACTCTGAGCAAGAGGATTGCTAGGAGTTGAGGCCAGCCTGGGCTACAGTGCTAAGACCTTGTCTTAGTAGGGCATGGTCAAGCACACTTTTAATCCCAGCCCTTTGGAGGCTATGGCTGGAGGATCTCTATGAGTTCAAGACCAGCCTGGTCTACATAGGGAGTTCCAGGACAGCCAGGGGTATACAGTGAGATTCTGCACCACCCCCCCAAACAAAAAAAAAAATGAAAAACCCAAACCCAAAATAAACAAATGGATGCTTCTGAATTGTCTCATAGTCTTTGAGGTATCAAAGAGTTTATTATTCCTGCTTTATTTTTTTGTTCTCTTAGATACTTCATTAATTTTATTATATATATATTTCTTTAATTTTATTATATAATATGTAATTAATTTTATTATATATAAAATAGTTATATATAATTAGATATAATTTTATTCTAGCTCCACTATTTTTTAATAAACCCCAGTTTTTAATGTACAACTTAAAGATTATCATACAGATAATCTTTTCATGTGAAGCCTGTGTAAAATGTCTTCAAATGAAAATACTTTTAAAATACAAAAGTTATTTTATGTGTATGTGCCTGAGTATATGTAGACCACATGCATGTAGGAGCCCTCAGAGGTCAGAAGTGGAGTTACAGATGGTTGTGAGCCACTATGTGGGTGCTGGGAACTCAACCTGGATCCTCTTTAAGAATATCAAGTTCTCTTTAACTAACAGCTGAGCCATCTCTCCAGCTCCAAGAGTACTTTTAGATCTTTAGTATTTACATCTTTAGTATACTTGAAAACATTTAGTTTATGTACTTTATATAATTATTGTAGTCCCTTTGGAGAGTCTGCTGATGAACTTCAAATCTGGAAATTATTGACAGACTTGAAATAATAGATTTTGTATAACTATAGATCAAGTTAATTGGTGATTTTATAGTATTTCTTTCTCTTAATTACAGATTCTTGAAACTATGCCTATGACTGAGAAAGTTGAAGAATTGCTGCATGTTATAGGTCCATTTTATGAAATTGTAGAAGACAAAAAGAGTGGCAAGACTTCTGACTTGACCTCAGGTTGGACAATCTTCTTTCTTTTCAAGACACAGTCTTGTGTACAAGGTTGGACCAGGCTGGCCTCTAACTCACCATCTCCTTGCCTCACTTCCCATGTTGTGGGATTACAGGCGTGGCCAGTCCTGCTCAGCTCTACTTTACTTTTTTTTCTTAACTCAGCAACTGATATATTATGCATACACTGATACCTATGCGTCTAATTTTCTCTTTTACTTTCACATGCCAGTCCGATTGGAGAAAATCTCCAAATACTTAGAAGGTAGGAATAATAATCCATGTAAAACCCTTGTTTAAAATTTACAGGGCAGTGGGGCTGAAGTGTTGGCTCAGTGGTTAAGAGCACTTCCCACTCTTCCAGAGGATCCAGTATGATTCCTAGCACCCATGTCAGGCAGCTCACAACTGCCTATTAATCCAGCTCTAAGTTGTCATCAGATGCTCTCTTGGCTCTTTGATCACCTGCACACATGGAATACATTTAGACTCACATACCCTCAAACATAAAAGTAGAAATAAGTAATGGGGTTGGATGGCTTAGTGGTTAAGAGCACTGGCTGTACTTCCAGAGGTGCTGGGTTCAATTCCTAGCATCAACATGGTGGCTCACAGCCATCTTTAACTCCAGTTCTAGAGGATCTCATGCTCTCTTCTGACCTCTGTGGATACCAGGTAGTGCACAGATATATATGCAGGCAAAACAACCAAACAAAATAAAATGAAATAATTAAAAATACTAATAGAAAAATTAATAATAAAAAAGCTTAAGGAAAAAGTAATTCTGCACAAATACATAAAACATAAATTTATCATCTAGGAATTGTTATTCAAAGTGAACACATGAATATGTATGAGGTTCTAAAATATTATTAAACTCTAAATTTTAACCTATTAAAATATTCCAAGTGGTTCACTTTTATATTACAGAAATATAGAATAATTAATAGTTTTTTGTGTTTGTTCATTTTTTTTTGCTTTGTTTTTGTTTTATCAAGACAGGGTTTCTTTATGTATCCCTGGCTGCCCTGGAACTCACTCTGTAGACCAGGCTGGTATTGAACTCAGAGATCCGCCTGCCTCTGCCTCCTGAGTGGTGTGATTAAAGGTGTGCGACACCACCACATAGCTTGTTTGTTCTTAATTAAATTAAAAAAAATATTTATTTAGTGCACTCATGCCACAGTGCGGAGAGTAGAAGTCAAAGGGAAAATTGTGGGACTCGGTTGTCTCTTTCTGCCATGTGAGTGCTGGGGATAAAGCTCAGTCCTCGGGCTTGGTAGCAAGTGCCTTTATCCACTGAGCCATCTCACTGGCCAGTTTTGTTTTGAGAAATAATTTTGCTTTATGAAATACGTTAGTGATACCATGAATCAAATGTTTTTCTAGCTTATTTTTAAAATATTTGTTATTTAGAAACAGTTTCATGTTGCCAGCACTGGCTTTGAACTCATTGTGTAGATGGGGATGGCCTTGAACCTTGGATTGCTCTGTTTCCACCTGCCAAGTTGTTGGGTTACAGGAGTGTGCCACCCTATCTGGCTGCTTGCTTCCTTCCTTTCTTCCTCTTTCTTCCTGTCTTGCTGTCTCTGTCTCTTGCTGTCTCTGTCTCTCTCTCTTTTATTATTTTATGTGTATACTTGTTTTGTCTGTAGGTGTCTTTTTGTGCTATTTGTGTGCCTGGTGCCCTTGGAGGCCAGAAGTGGGCATCAGCTCTCCTGGAACTGGAGTTGCACATGGTTGTGAGCCGCTTTGTGGGTACTAGGAGTTGAGCCCAGTTTCTCTTGAAGAGACAGTATTCTTAACCACTGACCCATCTCTCCAACTCCTAGATAATTTTGTAAAAAGACTTATTTATTTGTATTTTATGTGTATGGATGTTTTGTCTGCATGTATACCTGTGTGCCACTTGTGTGCCTAGTGTCAGAAGAGGGCGTCAGACCCCTGGGGACTGCAGCATGGATGATGGTGAGCAACCATGTATGCAGGTGCTGGGCATGGGATCTAGATCCCCAGCAGCCGGTGCTGTCCACCACTGTGCCGGTCTCTCAGCCTCTTAGAGTCTTTATTTTCTTTCTTTACCATTTTTATAACAAAAACCAAAGTTGTGATTTTGGTTCTTCATCTCATCTATGTGATTAACAATCATGTGGCTTTTGTCATTTAGATTATTTTTTAAGTGATTTTTTTTCTATTAAAAATGTTTTTTCCATTTTACATACCAATCACTGTTCCCTATTTTTTTTTTTTTTTAAGATTATGTATTGTGTATACAGTGTTCTGCCTGCATGTGTCCCTGTAGGCCAGATAAGGGCACCAGATCTCGTTATAGATGTTTTGAGCCACCATGTTGTTGCTGGGAATTGAACTCAGGACCTCTGGAAGAGCAGCCAGTGCTCTTAACCCCTGAGCCAACCCCTATATGGTCTTTTACATAGATTTTTGGATGTTGAGTAGTGTTCATTATCACATAACTGCATTGATGTTTTCTGCTGTCAGATGGTTTTGTTGCAAACGTTTATTTGATGGAGGTTTAGATGAAGGTGTCCATGGGTGTGAGTTTCTTTTCGTGTGTGTGTGTGTGTGTGTGTGTGTGTGTATGTATGTAATTGGGTTTTTTTTTCTTGTTCTTGTTTTAAAAATCAAAAACAAAAAAATTCTTCTCTCATGCTTAGCATATATAAAGCCCCAGACAAAAAGCCTTTGTGACTTAATACAATACCTTAGGACTGGGAGTGACCATTATTAGTAGAATACTTTCCTACCATGGATAAGACTCATAGTCTGATTCTTAGAACTACAAAACTAACTGTGGAGATGTCATGATTCTCTAATAGAAAATAGACTTGAAGTTTTAGTCTTTCATTTGGTTAGTTAGGTGGACTTAAATAAGAATGTAGGTCTCACTGTTTAAGGTGTATGGATATTTTGGAATTTAGTGTAATTGGATTTTTTTCTTTTTAATGATTTTTTAAAGTGCATGCGCGCGCGCACGCACACACACACACACACACACACACACACACACACACACGCACACACGCCATGAACGCATTTGTACATACCCAGTGTGATTGTGGATGTCAGAGGGTAGTTTGCAGGAACTGGCTTTTTCCCTACCCTGTGGATCCTGAGAATTGAGTTGACCTCAGATCAGGTTTATGTTGGGCATCTCTACCCACCGAGACATATTGCTGGTGCCAAAGTGGATTTTTGCAAGAGAAAGCCAAAAAGTTTATAGTAGATCACTTCCTTTTCTATTCTGTTTTATTGTGGGCTTTTTTTTGTTTTGTTTTGTTTTGTTTGATATTTGACAGGGTTCAGTATATAGACCTTGCTGACCTGAACTCAGGATTCCTCTTGCCTCAGCCTCCTGAGTGCTGGGATTACAGTTACCACACTTGGTCTTTTCTAACTTCTTTAGGGTTCATTAGTATGCTAAAAAAGACTATGCAGATGATATTCACTGTTGTTTCTCAAAATGTGGTCCAGAACCTAACATCATTGGTAATACATGGGACCCTTATGGATATGGACAATCTTAGATCACTCTAAAACTACTAATTCCAGATCTGTATTCTGATTAGATCTCAGTTAATTGATACGCACATTACAGTTTGTGTCTTCTCTTAGGGTAAACTTTGGCCTATACAGTTTGCTTCTTTAAGTGATGAAATTGATGTTTTAAAAAGTTTATATCGCCGGGCGGTGGTGGCGCACGCCTTTAATCCCAGCACTTGGGAGGCAGAGGCAGGCGGATCTTTGTGAGTTCAAGGCCAGCCTGGTCTAGATGAGCGAGATCCAGGAAAGGCGCAAAGCTGCACAGAGAAACCCTGTCTCGAAAAACCTAAAAAAAAAAAAAGTGTTGGTGTAGCACTCAGGAAGCAGAGGCAGGTGGATCTCTGAGTTTGAGGACAGGATAGTCTACAGAATGAATTCTAGTACAGCCAGGGCTACACAGAGAAGCCCTGTCTTGAAACTGCTCCCCAAAAAGTTTGTCTATCTGTCTGTCTATCTACTATCTATCTATCTATCTATCTATCTATCTATCTATCTTATAAATACATAAAAATTAGGCTGTATACCCTAAGCTCTAAAGATAATACAAAAAAAAATTTTAAAATGTAGTATTTTGTGCCTGATTTAGCAGCACAAATTGAATAATGCATTGATTATCATGGCTTCTGTGTCAGGATGATGATACAGATTCATGTAGCATTCTGTATCTAATAGGAAGAAATTAGGTGGGCATGGTGATGTATGCCTGTAATTCCAGCACTTTGGAGCAGAGGCAGGAAGTTTGAGTCCCGTCTGATCTACGTAGTGTTTTCTAAGCCAGCCAGGGCTATAGTGTGAGGCTTTGTCTTAACATCTTAACAAACAATTAAAATGGAGTCCAACTATACTATCAGGGAGCATATTGATGTTTTCGGAAGGCTAGCAAATCGTTTTTCATTTACTAAGTATGAAGGCCATTTATGTTCAACTTCATTTTTTTTGATTGATGTTAACTTCAAAATTAGTTCTCCCTTGGCTTCAGAAAGGGTAGTTAAGACAACATTATCAATTTTGTTGTAGACTGGTAATTTAAGTAATTTGTATAATTATAAATGTATAGAGTAAAAGAATAACACATTTATATTTATATTTGTAATACTTATTTATTTTTATTTTATGTGTATGAGTGTTTTGCCTGCATGTGTATAAGTGGAACTGGAGTTATGGTTTAAGTCACCAAGTAGGTGCTAAAACTGAACCTAGGTCCCTTGGAACTGCAGCCAGTGCTCTTAATCTCTGACTCATCTCTCCAGCCTCCATTTTTAGTATTGTAATTAAAAAATGATTTATTAGTGAGTTCTCTTGCAAATTCTCACATTAAGATGCATTAGCACATTACTGATGTAGGTTTTCATTTCATGCTTTAGATCTTGGTAATGTTCTGATCTCTTCAAATGCCAAAGCTGTTAATGGTAAAACTGAGAGCAGTGACAGTGGAGCTGAGTCTGAGGAAGAAGAGGCCCAGGAAGAGTTCAAAGGAGCAGAACAGAGTGATAGTAATGGTGAGTCTTGGGTAACGGTTAATACAGTCAATATGAAATTTTGTACCAGATAAGATAAAAGGACATAAGAACATTTGGGCTGATTTTTATATATATATATATATATATATATATATATATATATATATATTATTAATGCATGTGGTGGTATTTGGGGTATTGACTGTATATCCAGGTTTTCAGTGGACAAAATTCTCTACTATGGGGCTGGAGAGATGGCTCAGAGGTTAAGAGCACTGGCTGTTCTTCCAGAGGTCCTGAGTTCAATTCCCAGCAACCACATGGTGGCTCACAACCATCTATAATGAGATCTGGTGCCCTCTCTGAGGTTCTCCCATTGTGCTGTAAGACTGTATTTAAGGTTTCCTCCCTCTTTCAATAAACGGCATTTGGCATTCTGCTGTGGCGAATGACTCGCTGTCTCTTGTCTCTTATTAAAAAAAAAAATTCTCTACTATGGAATATACAGGCAACCAGTCTTATTCATTAATGAAGTAGGTGTTAATTGAGAGTGGACAAGAGTTGGCTAGTCTCCCAAATGTGCATAAAATGATGTATTATGTAATTTAAAAAAGGGTATATCATGATTCTTCTCTTGAGTGTTGGGATCACCTCAGGCATACATTTTGGTGGAGTATTGGAATCATGGGGTACCACATTCTGATGTCCTGTTAGGAGGACAAGTAATTTCAATTATGGAAAGGAAAGGGATATTAAAACTGCACAACGTCTCCTTGCTTCTACACTCTGTTCTTTATGGATCAGTTTGTCATCAGGTAGTCCTCTTCATTTCTAGGTTTCTAGAGCAGTTTGTCTGCGATATTCTAAAATCATTAGGACATTATTCTAGGGGCTGGAGAGGTGGCTCAGCAGTTAGGAGCACTGGCTGCTTTTCCAGAGGACCTGGGTTCAATTCCTAGCAACCACATGGCAGCTCACAGCCATCTGAACTCCATTTTCAGGGGATCTGTTGCCCTCTCCTGGCCTCTTAGAGCATCGAGCATGCATGTGGCATACAGACATACATGTAGGCAAAACACCCATACACATAAAAATAAAATTAAAAATAGATTTAAATTTTTAAACTTTTTTTTTTTTTTTTTTTTTTGAGACAGGTTATCTCTATGTAGCCCTGACTGTCCAGGAATTGCTATGTAGATAAGGCCTCAAATTCACAGATACTGGGTGCCTCGGCCTCTAAGTGTTAGGATGAAAGACGTGCGCCACCATAAATGCCCGGATATATATATACACACACACACACACACACACACACACACACACACACACACACACACGTTTATTATTTATTTAGTCTCTGTGTGTGTGAACACATGCATGCATAAGTGTTGTGTGTTTGTGTGCCCCAGTGCACACAGGAACATCAGAGGGCATCACAACTTTTGGGGTCAGATCTCTCCTTCCATCATGTGGGACCTGGAGATTAAACTCAGGTCATCAAACTTTACAGGAAGTGCCTTAACTTATTAAGATACATAACTCTAGCTCAGGAGATTAGGTTTAGAGACAGGTTTGGTGATGTAACCCTCTAGGCAGTAGGCTGAGGCAGCAGGATTGCTATGAGTTTGAGGCCAGCCTGTATTACAAAGTGAATAGTAGGCCACTTAAGGCTACATAGTGAGACCCTTTCTCACAATAACGAAACCCAGGGTTTGTTGTGATGGCAGGCACCTTTAATTTCAATATTGGGAGGCAGAGGCAGGCCAATCTCTGTAAGTAGGGTTATATAGTGAGACCCTGACTTGATAAAACACCAGCACCAAAAATAAACAAACAAGCAAAAAACCAAAGAAAAGAGCAAGCTATTGTTTTAAATCCTTTTTTCATTTCTAGGTTTATTTTATTTATGTGCGAGTCTGTGTGAGCATGTTGATGCCTGCAGAGCCAGAACAGGGTAGCAGATGTTCTGGAGCTGAAGCTCTAGGCAGTTGGGAGTCTGACATGGGTGCTGGGGACAGAACTTGAGTCCTCGGGAAGAACAGGAGTGCTCTTAACTACAGGGCCATCTCTGCAGCCCAAGGTGATGATGGTAATAATGATGATGAGTTTTAAAGATTTTATAAGAGTCATGGGGAAGGGAAGCATTTTGAAAAGTTAATGTGAATTTTGGGGGAGCTTTGGCATGTAATAATAGCTTCCCTTTCGAGGAGCCGCCCATTTCTCCCATCCAGATAGGAAGCCCTTCAAAAGGATTGTGCTAATTTGGGAATTGACTGTAGAGATTCTAGAACACTTTTTTTTCTGATTGATAAGGGAACTTTTTTTTTTTTTTTTTTTTTTTAAGATAGTGTCTTTCTATGTAGCCCTGCTTGGTACTCTCTATGTAGACCTGAAATTCACAGAGATGTACCTGCCTCTGCCTCTTGAGTGCTAGGATTAAAGACAAAGTAACCATGCCTGGTTACTAGATACTTTTATGCATCTCTCCTTTTTTTCCCCCCCATACAAGATAAGAAAATGGTGAAGAAATCAACAGATAAGAATTTGGAAATCATTGTCACCAATGGCTATAAGGATAGCTTTGTTCAGGATACACATGATGATGTTCATAGCGATTCTTCCCCGAGGGACAGAAGCAATGAAGAAGCAAAACCCATAGATCCGAGTTTGGAGCAGACTGGAAACACTGTTGTCTGTGTTCACCAAGGTATTGTTCTCAAATACTTCTTCGTCTAACCTTTTCCTACAACTAAAATATTCTTTTAACAATTCTAGGATGTTTAGGAATAGTTTAGGACTTAAAACCTCTTACTTAGTAATGTCTTCTTAGGGTTGTTAATGCTAGTATAAGGGTTTGTTACTGTGAAACAGTGAATTAGAGCCAGAAGGCTTTATCTGTTTCTTCTTTATTTGTTCATGGTGTGTAGTTGTGTGCCATGGTAAGTCTGTGGAGTATAGCTGGAGAGTTTTCTCTCTGGGTCCCGCCCAAACCCCGGCAGTCTCTTAGCCCACATAAAATAAACATACAGATCCTTGGCCATTAGCTCAGGCCTATCATTGTCTAACTCTTACTCTTATATTCAGCCCATTTCTATTAATCTATACTTTGCCGCGTGGCTTGTGGCTTACTGGTACCTTACATCTTCCTTGTCCTGTAGGCAGTCTCCCTCTCCCTTCCTGTTCCCTCAATTCTCTTCTCTGTTTTTTTTTTTTTGTTTTTTGTTTTTTGTTTTTTGTTTTTCGAGACAGGGTTTCTCTGTGCAGCTTTGCGCCTTTCCTGGGACTCACTTGGTAGCCCAGGCTGGCCTCGAACTCACAGAGATCCGCCTGGCTCTGCCTCCCGAGTGCTGGGATTAAAGGCGTGCGCCACCACCGCCCGGCCAATTCTCTTCTCTATTAGTCCCGCCTATACTTCCTGTCTGGCTACTGGCCAGTCAGTGTTTTATTTATACAGAGCGATATCCATAGCACTTCCCCTTTTCTTCTGTTTCAAAAAGGAAGGTTTTAACTTTAACATAGTAAAATTACATATAACAAAACAATTATCAAGCAAGAATTACAGTTACAATATTAAAGAAGATATCCTATCTATCTTATATTTGTGAGTCTAAGGTTTTATATCTACACCTCTTTAATCATAACTGAGGAAATTATCAGTATCTAGTCTTCAACCACATCAAAGACCTCAGAAGGATATAATACTACCTGAGAAATGGGAGAAGGATGCAAGCAACTTTCGGGAGTCTTGCAGGGTAGACAGAGACAGCTGACAGCCTGGACAGTCATCTAAAGTTCTCTTGTAAAGTTGGGGCATCTGTCTTTAGCCCACAGGGCTAGAGTCTCTCAGTCATTTTTTTTTTTTTTAGTGTCCTGTAGAATGTCTGGCAGTTTCTTTTGTGTAGTGCTGTGGATATCGCTCTGTATAAATAAAACACTGATTGACCAGTAGCCAGACAGGAAGTATAGGCAGGACTAACAGAGAGTAGAATTGAGGGAACAGGAAGGGAGAGGGAGACTGCCTACAGCCGCCACCAGGACAAGGAAGATGTAAGGTTCCAGTAAGCCACGAGCCATGTGGCAAAGTATAGATTAATAGAAATGGGCTAAATATAAGAGTAAGAGTTAGACAATGATAGGCCTGAGCTAATGGCCAAGCAGTTTAAATAATATAAGCATCTGTATGTTTATTTTATAAGTGGACTAAGGGACTGCCGGAGCTTGGCGGGACTCAGAGAGAAAACTCTCCAGCTACAGTGGAGGGTCTGTGGAGGTCAGAGGACAACTCAATGGAGTTGGCTCTTTTTTCATCATTGAACTCAGGTAGTCAGGCTTGGTAGTAAGCTCCTCTGCTCTCTTAGCCATGGTGTGTTTTATCAGGACCCAGCTCTGTAGACCTGGTGGTCTAGAATTGCTGGTAGTTTTCCTGCCTTTACCTCCTAAGTCTAACTGTAATCCTTTCAGTTAAATAGATATAGAGATATATCTACTTATATGTGTATATAATATATATATATATTATATATAGATCTATAAGTATATAGATAAGTATATCGATCTATATATGTTATGACCTTCAGCCAGTTGTGGTGGAATACCTGTAATCTCAGCACTTCAGAAGCTGAGGCAGGAGCATTGTGGATGATGCATAGTAAATACTATGACTTGGTAAGACAGATTTCTTTCCCAGAATGAGTGTAATATAGGACTGATGAGTTGTGAAAAATAGAATGAAAGTAAGTTTTTCTTGTCTTAGAGCATAATTATACTGTCTGGACATTTGCTCATGTTTAGATACAAATGATGATCACAGTGAAGATGCCTCAGGAATTCATTTGACAAGTGATTCAGATAGTGAAGTATACTGTGATTCTATGGAGCAATTTGGACAAGAAGAGGTAAAGATGACAATTTCTGATTGACAAATTTTCAAAGTGATATATCCAGTATGCAGAATACAATATTATTGATATTCATGCACAAAAATGCCATAATGAAACTCATTGCTTTTTGTATGCTAACAAAAACTGACGAAAGCAAAAAAAAAAAAAATCCAGTGCATAACTTCTGTTAGTAGCGAATAAGCTTGTTCACTGCTTTGAAAACACACCTGCTGTAGAGCAAAGTGCCTGCTGTGCAAGTGTGCAGACTTCGGATCCCCAGAACTGGTGTAAAGCTGGAGTATATTTGTAATCTCAGTGCTCCTGGAGTGAGATGGGAGGTGGAGCCAGGAGAATCCCCAGAAGCTCGCAGGCCAGCTAGACTGCTGTGTGTAGTGTTGAATGGCAGAAGACCCAGTTTCAGGTGGAAAGCAAGAACAGATATCTGAGGTTGTTGTCCTTTAAATACCGCATGTATGCTGCAGCACTCACTGTTAAAATAACAACCATGAACACATTGGAGTACACACACACACACACACACACACACACACACACACACTTAAAAATACCTTGAAAATGTTTAACATTTACAGTTTTATTTGTGTGTGTGTGGGTGTGTGTGTGTGTGTATAAAGTAAAGTGTTTAATAAGTCTGGGGGATGGATTAGTGGGTAAAATTACTTGCTGCACAAGTATAAGAGGACCTGAGTTTGAATACTCAGTGTCCATCTCAAAAAAATTGTGTGGAGGCCAGCATGGTAATGCACACCTTTAATCCCAGCCCTCGAGAAGCAGAGGCAGACAGATTGCTGTGAGTTCAGTTCATCCAGGAAAGCCATATGGCTTTGTGTGCCTACACCTCTGTACTGTAGGGAACAGAAGAGAGGAAAATCACTGGGGTGATCTGGTTTTCAGCTTTAGGTTCTGTGAGAGATCCTGTATCAAGGGAATAAGGTGGAGAGTGATGTGATAGAGGAGGCTACTGGTTACCCTCTGGCCTCTGCATGTTCGTGCATGGGGGCACATGCCTGCACTGACACACGGGCATATCCAACACACATGCTTTCACACACACACACACATACAAAGAGAAAAAATATACCATATAATTAATTTATATTTAATATTTATAATTAGTATTTTAGAATATTATAATAGTAGAATTAGAATACAAATTATTTTATAAAAACAGTATATTAGAATAATAATATAAATAGTAGAATACTATTACAATAATATAGTGTTCCATTATAATTTATCATATATGTATTTTATAAATATTCTGTGACAGGTAGAATAGAGGTGCAGAGGATAAACTGTTTTTGCTAAAACATTGATTAGTGAAGAAAACTGAATAATCATCAAGCATAAATTAGTTCTTCATATTGACTATACTCCAGTTAGTTAAAACTTTTAGTTCAAGGGCTAGACAGCTGGTTCAGCAGTTAAAAGTGTGTACTCTTAAGAGTGCTTTGCAGAGGACCTAAGTGTGATTCCTAGCACCACACCAAGACAGCTCACAACTGCCCGTGAATCCTGCCCCAGGGGATCTTATGCTCTCTTCTGGGCATTGCTCTTATTTGCAAAAACCTCCACACAAACCCACATACAAGGTACTCAAGATACATAATTAAAAATAAAAATAAAGCCTTTAAAACAAAAAACTACTTTTAGACAAAATAATCTTCAGATTTCATTCAAGATTCAGTGTTGGAAGAACAAATTAAACATAAATCTCTGTTGGGTGTGGTGGCTTACACCATTAATTCCAGCAGTTGGGAGTAGAGGCAGTTATATCCCTGAGTTTGAGGCCATCATGGTATACATAGAAAGTTCCAGGCCAGCTAAGGCTATATAGTAACACCCTGTTCCCTTGAAAAAACAAAAAACAAAACAAAACAAAAAACAAAAAACCCCCAAACAACCAAAGAAACAACAGGAAGTTGGTGATTAGTACATTTTTTCCCCCTTCAGGGCAAAGCTGTAGTATATAGCTCTGGCTGACTTAGAACTCCATATGTATACAAGGCTGCGTTGACAGAGATCCACCTGCCTGCACCTCCTGAGTGCCTCCTTCATGTACTACTTGGACAGTTCATTTCAGTCACCTTTTCCTGTTGATCCATGAATATAGTATTCTTCAGGAGTACAGCCTTGGTTACTGCTTCTTTGGTTTCAGGCATTACTTAAGGCTGATAACTTTCAAATGTAGGCAGAGTTTTCCCAATTTGGGAGCTACTTCCAAATTACCACACTGAGGCTTGTATTATTTATAAATGCTCAGCCAATAGCTCAGGATTATTACTAACTAGTTCTTACAACTTAAATTAACTCATTTCTATTAATCTACATTCTGCCGCATGGCTCATGGCTTTACCTGTCCTCCAGCATGTCCTGCCCCCTCTGTGACTGGCTGATGTCTCCTCTGACTCTACCCTCCTTCTTCCCATCATTCTCGGTTTGGCTTTCCTGCCTAACTTCCTGTCTGGCTACCGGCCTGTCAGCTTTTTATTAACCAATGAGAGTAATATATATTCACAGTGTACAGAAGGATTATTCCACAGCAATCAAAGTTATAAATTCAGTGTTTTCTCTCTTCTGAATTCTAACTGCCTACTCTTTGCCTGGTATGATGGTTAGCTTTGTTAACTTGACACAAGCTAGAGTCATTTGGGAAAGGGGACTCAGTTGAGAAAATGTCCCCACCAAAATATCCAGTGGGATATTTTCATCATTATAATTGATGTACATGGGCCCAGATTTACTGTGGACAGAGCAATCACTGGATTCATGGTCCTGGATGGTATCAGAAAGCAGGCTGAGCAAGCCATAAAGAACAAGCCAGTAAGCAGCATTCCTTCATGGGTTCCTGCCTCTAGGTTCCTGCCCTGACTTCCCTCAGTGATGACTTATAAACTAACTGTATGGTGAAATAAACCCCTTCCTTCCCAAGTTGCTTTTGGTCATGGTGTTTTTAGTACACTACAGAAATCCTAACTAAGACACTAAAGGTTTCAGTTTTTACTTACCTGTATCTGAACCATTATCTTCTTTTTGTTCTCCTACAGCCTAATCTCCTGTATTTATCTTAGTATATCACCAAACTGTTTGGTCCTCAGAGCTTTCCCTTCTCTGGCTCTCCATGCTCAGTTTTTTAAGACCAGTACTGTTCTGTTGTAAGTTCTCAAACATCTTCCGTCCCAACTACATTGATGGTCCATTGTCATTGTGAAGCCTTTGATTTGGCTTATATTCATTTGTTCTTTATTGTTTTTGTGTTGAATCAGGGACTGACTGTGTAGCTTTGGCTGGTCTGGAACTTACTATGTAGACCAGGCTGTCTTCTAACTCACAGAGATCTGCCTGCATCTGCTTCTGAGTACTGGAATTAAAGGCGTGCGCCACCATGCCTGGCCCATGCTCATTTGTTCTTAGTTGAAGTTCTATCATCATTGTTTTTGGAAGCCTTTCCTGACCAAGCCTCTACCCAGTTGCAGTAAGGGTTGGGAATCTGTTTTATTGACTGCTGTAGTAACTGCTCCATACTGTTTTCATACCGCTTATCAGACAATGCAGCAGCAGTCTCTTCTGACTCCCTTACTAAGGTTGCGAGTAAGGAGCCCCTTTCCTTAGAGTTGCCTAGAGTTGAGTATAGTAACTTAGGTAAGCCTGTTGTTATATCTTGGGGTAATTGATTGACTCTTGGGAAACCTTACATGTTGTTCATAGAGGAAATCATGCCTATCTCAATATTTCCTGTATATGGGAAGCTGAGTACATGTTGAAGGATATTTTAAAGAAAGGAATATTTTCAGCAGGAACATGAAGGGACCATTTTAGAAAAACAGCATTTAAGGCTGGAGAGATGGCTCAGCGGTTAAGAGCACTGGCTGTTCTTCCAGAGGTCATGAGTTCAATTCCCAGCAACCAATGGTGGCTCCCAACCCTCTGTAATGAGATCTGGCGCCCTCTTCTGGCATGCAGGCAGAACACTGTATACATAATAAATAAATCTTTTTTTAAAAAAAGGAAAAACAGTATATTACCATGAAAACTTTTGATATATCATTTATATTTGTAAATTTTAACTGTCATTTTAAATTTGTAGTCTTTAGACAGCTTTATGTCAATCAATGGACACTTTTAGTATTACTTAGGTGGTGATCCCAGTCAGCACTTGGAAAATTCTGGTTTTTGTGAAGACGCTCAAATATCTCCCGGAAATGGCAGCATTGGGAAAATGCGGATGGTAGCAGTCGAGGGAAAAGGAGAAGTGAAGCATGGAGGAGAAGATGGCAGAAGTAACAGCGGAGCGCCACACCGTGAGAAGAGAGGAGGAGAAAGTGAGGACTTCTCTAATGTCAGAAGAGGGAGAGGTCTGTATTCCCCGTTCACTGATCCATTTCCCTTTCTGAGAGTCTCATTATCTAGCTCTGGCTGGCCCAGAACTTGTAGTGATCCTTCTACCTCTGGCTGCCAAGGGTTGGTGTGGCAGTGCTCAGCTTTATTTTTTTAATCTTTTGTGCAGTTTTTTATAAAATAACATTTATTTGTGTGTGTGTGTACATGTACATACTCTACATGTAATGGCATGCATGTGGAAATCAGAGGACACTGAGGTCATGAGGCTCGGCAACATGTCTTTTCCTGCGGATCCGCCTTGGCAGCCCATTATGCAGTGTGTCTAAGGAACCTCGTTTATGCTTTCTTTGTTCTCCCTCTGAACCGTCACTGACTGCGCTACCTGTGCTGCCACTTTGAGTCCCTGTATAAGTCAGTCTGAATTATTTATCTTTTCCTTACTTGGGTTAAGGGAGATCATATGAAGCTGACAAATCAGTAAGACCTAAGGAGCACTGCACACTAAAAAATTGACGGTGGTGATGTGGGCTGGCGGGCTGGTCAGCAGGTGAGTGTGCTTGCTGCCAAGCCTGACAACTTGGGTTTGAGCCCTGGGTGGCAGGAGCTATAACTGATTTCAACAAGTTGTCCTCTGGCCTCCAGTGCATGTTTTGGCATGAGCATGTCCTCCACCCTGACACAAAATAAATGAGTGTAACAATAATAAAAAAGGAATAGTGATGTGATCATGGAGCAGACTAGATATGAGTGTGGGAAAAAAGTAAATATATTTGTTATATAAAAATATGAAAGAAAAGAATGATAGAGAATGAATATATAAAGTTGTAGTGTAGAGAGCTGTTTGGTGATGGTGCATGCCTTTAATCCCAGCATTCTGGAGGCAGAGGCAGGTGGATCTCTGAGTTTGAGGACAGCCTGATCTACACAGTAAGTTCTCTGTCTTGACAAACTCCCCCCCCCCAAAAAAAAATTGTAGAGTAGAACAAGAAGTATAGCTCAGTCATAGCTTATACTCAGCCCCACTGTTGAATGAGAAAGGAAAGGGAAAAAGATTGGGAGATAACCATTTGGATAAAGTATAGATATTCTCAATTTTCAATAGGGTTATGTCCCAGTAGATCCCTTGGAAACTGTGACTATTATAAGTTGAAGATGCATGTAGCCTCATTGCCTTCACTGTACTCAGAACACTTGCATTGGCTTGTTCTTGTTCCAAGTCATCTAACACAAAGCCTATTTAAAAACATATACTATATTTCAGGGGTTCGAGAGATGGATGAGATGGAGAGATGGTGGTTAAGAGTATTTGTTGCTCTTGCAAAGGACCTGGGTTCAGTTCCCAGCACCCATTTCAGAGGGCTCACAGCTGCCTGTAACTCCCATTCCGGAAATTGAGCACCCTTTTCTGGCTCTTTGGGCACCTGCTTGCACATGGTGCACAGACATAAACATTCTCTCTCTTTCTCACTTTCCCTCACATACACAGATAAATCTTTAAAAAAAAATACTGTTCTTCAGATGAAAACCACAATTGTTATATGAGTATACTTTTGCATCATTGTAGTATAGAAAATTGTAGGAAGAATCCATGCAGTCAATAGAAATGTTCATACACTGAATGCATAAAGCAGAGAGGAAAATCAGGAAGGGATTGAGCTGGGTCTCCTAGTGTTCAGTTCATTGAATTTACATAGATCTAGCTCTTTCCTTGTGTTAGCACTAGAATTGCATCAAGAGCTCAAATTAACTGGGGTGTCTGTCTCACTTGATCTTCTGCTTAGACCTCTGACCAAGAGGGTGTGGGAAAGGCGAGAAGGAAAAAACCCTTGGCTTCTGTTATGAGGAAAGATCTGTCACACTTCATTTCTGCAAGAATACACAGTAATAAAAACTGTTAGCTATGCTGGGGATGTAGTTCAGTGCTAGAGTGCTTATCTCGTACATGTGAGGACGTTGGCTCAAGACCCAACCATACACACACACATGCACACGCACATGCACACACACACAGAGTAATAATTGATAATTTCAAAATAATTTTTTTTTTTTGAGACAGGGTCTCCCTATAGAGCCCTGGCTGTTCTGGAACTCTCCATTTAGACCAGACTGGCATTGAAATCACAGAGTTCTGCCAGCCTCTGCCTCCCAAGTGCTGCGATTAAAGGAGTGCACTACCACACCCAGCCTTAAAATAATATTTTTTGTTATTATTTTGAGACAGGATCTCATGTATCCTAGGCTAGCCTTGAACTCTTTATGTAGCCCAAGCTGACTCTGAACTTCTGCTTTTCCTGCATCTTCCCGCCAAGTGCTAGAATTACAAGCATGTACCACTCACCATACCTGGTTTTTGTATTAGCAAAAATTTATAATCACTCTACTCTAGTCAGATATACAGAATGGTTGTTTTAATTACCTCAGGGTTCATATTAAGGAATTTATATAATATGTAAGTGTTTTTTGAATAAGTCAGTGATGGAGATAAATGTTTGTAATATGATTTAAAAAATAGTACATAATTATGAGGTTAAGCCAATTTTTAAATCTGTGCATATAAAAAGGAATAAATGACAATATAGAAAATCTTAGTAGTTAGATATTTTAATATGTATAAGGAGTATGCAGTTTATAATTAGAAAACCCTTTTATGAGCTTAAAATATTTTTAAGGCCGGGCGGTGGTGGCGCACGCCTTTAATCCCAGCACTCGGGAGGCAGAGCCAGGTGGATCTCTGTGAGTTCGAGGCCAGCCTGGGCTACCAAGTGAGTCCCAGGAAAGGCGCAAAGCTACACAGAGAAACCCTGTCTCGAAAAAACCAAAAAAAAAAAAAAAAATATTTTTAAACAAAGAAGGAAATTTTAGTTATTTAATGTTAACTTTTAATACTGTAAAACAACAGTTACATTTTTTAAAAAAGCAGTTTTAATTACCTTTATAGTAAAGAGGGTAAAAAAATTTATTTTTATTTTATGTGTATGAATGTTTTGCCTGCATATTTGTATGTGCACCATGTGCATGCCCGTAGAGTTCAGAAGATAGTGTCAGATCCCCTGGACCTGGAATTACAGATGGTTTTAAGTTACCATGCAGGTGCTGGGAACCAAACCCAGGTCTTCTGCAAGAGCAACAAGTTCCCTTTGTCTGCTGAGCCGTCTCTCCAGTCCCAGTAAAGAGTTTTTTTTTTTTTTTTTTTGGTTTTTTGAGACAGGGTTTCTCTGCGTAGCTTTGCGCCTTTCCTGGAACTCACTTGGTAGCCCAAGCTGGCCTCAAACTACAGAGATCCGCCTGGCTCTGCCTCCCGAGTGCTGGGATTAAAGGCGTGCGCCACCACCGCCCGGCAAGAGTTTTTAAAGATTTATTTATTTATTATGTATACAGCATATATGACTGCAGGCCAGAAGAGGGCACCAAATCTCATTAAAGGTGGTTGTGAGCCACCATGTGGTTGCTGGGAATTGAACTCAGGACCTCTGGAAGTGCAGTCAGTGCTCTTAACCTCTGAGCCATCTCTCCAGCCCCGAGTTTTTAAACATGTACTCTGTACATGAATCTTCCTTATGAATTGTATAAACATTGTCATATATTATTAAATTATGTACAGTCTTCCCTTAACATAGAATAGATTCTTTTAATCCTACTGGTTTATTTTATGTGCTTCCTGATTGCTTTTACTTTACTTTGTTTATTTACATATCAAGGAATTACCAAGGAAAATGAATAATACACTATTTCTATTTTGAAAAGAAACTTTATGGTTAGCTAACTTACTTTACTCTCTTAATAGGGCATAGAATGCCACATTTGAGTGAAGGAACCCAGGGTCGGCAAGTCGGAAGTGGAGGTGATGGAGAACGCTGGGGCTCAGACCGAGGCTCCAGAGGCAGTCTCAATGAGCAGATTGCCCTTGTACTCATCAGATTACAAGAGGACATGCAAAATGTCCTTCAGAGACTTCATAAACTGGAAACACTAACTGCTTCGCAGGTAAGCTACTGAGTTGATCTCATTGTTATCTTCTGTTTTTTGATTCTATAAAGCAGTGTAGAATCTTTATCGATGATACTTGCATAAATAAATTTTCATGTTCAGATTTGCATAAATACACATTTTTGTAAGTTGACACATATTTTAATTTTCGTTAATAAAATCACTTTTATTTGAAGATATTATTTAAGAAAAGATTGGCCTAAAAGATGAGTGTCACTTACATTAATAGAAAATTTTTAGATTGTGAAATTGAGCAGTACAGAATGCTAGGGATATAATTCAGTGGCTTAGCATTCAGAGGCCGTGGGTTCAATCTGCAGTACTGAAGGGAATAAAAAAAATTAGTACATTGAAGTTAGGGATTAGATACTTGGTACGAGAAGAAAATTTTCTACTAAGCCCTGAAGTTTAAAGAAGCACAAAGAAATCTTTACTAATATCCAATAGTTATCATTAAAGAGTCATTCTTATCCATACACAGGGACACATGCCTTTAATTCTAGCACTCAGAAGGTAGCCTGGTCTGCATAGAGAGTTCCAGGACAGTCGGAGCTACATAGAAAGATTCTGTCTTGGAAAAAAAAAAGTCTTGTGTAGTAAACTTTTCGTAGAGGTAAGATATTAAGTTGGTAATTATTTAGGGTAAGTTAATTTTAGTATCAAATTTTTTTTTTTTTTTTTTGGTTTTTCGAGACAGGGTTTCTCTGTGCAGCTTTGCGCATTTCCTGGAACTCACTTGGTAGCCCAGGCTGGCCTCGAACTCACAGAGATCCCCTGGCTCTGCCTCCCGAGTGCTGGGATTAAAGGCGTGCGCCACCACCGCCCGGCTTAGTATCAAAAATTTAAAACCAGAGATCAATGTAGAATGATAGTTTGATCTTCACTATATTTTGGCCCTGTAAGATCCAAGGATGTTAAATCAAACCCTGAGATTCCTGATAACAAGCGGGTCTCTGATTCTTGTCCCTTCTCTTTTTCTTCTGTTTGTTGTGTCTAACTGTGATATGATAGTTTTTGTTTTGTCTAACTGTATTTTATTTGATGTATGTTTTTTTCTTTCTTTTTCCTTTTCTTTTTTCTTTTTTTTTTTTTTGAGGCAGTTTCTCTGTGTAGCTCTGGCTGTCTTGGATCTCAAAGATTCTCCTGCCTCTGCCTCCCAAGTGCTGAGGTTAAAGGCGTGCACCACCACTGCTTGGCTATTGTTATATTTCATTATTATCCCTTAGAAGCCTGTTCTTTTCTAAAGAGAGACAGAAAGGGAGTGGATCTGGATGGAGGGGGAGGTGGTGAAGAGCTAGAGGAGGAGTAGAGGGAGGGAGGGGAAATTGTAATGATATATTAGAAAAGAATCTATCTTCAATAAAAAAACAATTAACCCATGAAAATTAAGTACAGTAGAGACTGAGGGTGTAGCTTAGTGTTACAATGTTTTCCTAGCATGTTCAAGGCTATGGGTTCAAAATCTAGCACCACAAAAAAGAAAAAGGCAGTGTAGCTAGTCTCTTACAAAAGCCCTAGAAGAATCCAGACATCTTAGACTGCTGGACTTTCTCTTATACAAATTGCTACCCTTTAATGAATAAACCTGATATAGGTGCCAGGAACTGAACTCGGGGACTCTGGAAGAGCAGAAAGTGCTCTTAACCATTGAACATCTCTCCAGCCCCCACCATTTTCTTTTGGTTTTACTATGCAGCCTAGCTGAGCTGGAACTCACTATGTAGACCACGGTGGCCCTAAAGTCCCAGAGATCCGCCTCCCTTTGCCTCCCGAGTGCTGGGATTAAAGGCATTTCCCACTATGCCTTAAGGTGTAGCCTAGGCTCTCCTCAAACTTGTTCTTGTCCTGACTGCTTCTTGGGGAACTGCCATGGCCTTCTTTTGGACTCAATCTACTGAATCAATTAGTGCTGTCCGTATGCACATGGGTGTGAAGCCCTCCCCAAATCATGGACAATGTTCTAGTCACCACAACCTCAAAGAAAAATGACTCTTCCTCTCCAAGCAGCCATCATCTGCCCAAAGCCCCTCATCTATGAGGTGGGACTCATGAGCTCCTCTCCCATTCATGCTAGACTTTTGGCTGGCTTGATCTTGTTCAGGCACTGGGCATGTAACAGCCATTGCTGCTATGAATTCATGAGTGTAATAGTCTTTTCTTGAAGACAGCAGTTCATAGCAGTCCTCCTCATCCTCTGTAGTTCTCAGACATGTTTGCAAATCGATGGCTTGTGTGGAGACTAGATTAAGCAAAGTTGAGGAGGTGATAAGGCTAAAAGAAGTTAAGAATTTAGATTGAAAAGTACTATAAATATATGAAGATTATATATATATTATGAAATGAAATTGTGGAAAGAGTAGATACAATTTAGATAATTTTAAAAAATGAAATAGTATCTCATGTATCCCATGCGACCTCAGTGTAGTCAAGGATGACCTTAAACATCTGCCCTCCGGTCTTTATCGCCTGAGTGCAGGGATTATAGGTGAACCAGCTCTTGGTTGATATGTTCTGGGGATTAAATACAAGCGATTTGTGCTTTCTTGGTAAGAACTCTACCAGTTGAACTACATCTCCAACATTGACTTGAGGTTTTATTTTTATAATTTCGTAGAGTTTGAACTATATAAGCAGTATAAGGAAGGGATTTGTATACCTCACAGGTTTAGGGACCTTGTTCATTCGTCAGTGTGGGTGGGCTTTAGTGTAATCAAAATTTAACACAAAAAGAGAGACTAAACTACTTATTCTACTTCCTTAAAAAATAGGAAGTAGAAAAACTGTTAAGTGGGCTACAGTTGTAGCTCAGTAGGTAGAGTGCTTGCCTAGCCTGCCTGAAACCCTGGGGTTTGATTACCAATACTGCATAAACCAGGTGTGTGTGTGTGTGTGTGTGTGTGGGGGGTGATGACATGGGGCGGCTAATAAACCAGGTGTGCGGGCAGTGTAGGGTGTGATGAAGTGGAGGCAGGGAGGATCAGAAGTTCAAGTTCAACTACATTGGGAGTTGTAGGGCCAGCTTGGGCTAGAGACCCTTTCTCAAAATAGAAACACACAAACAACCCCCCTCTCCCATTATACCTTTTTTTCATTCTTTCAAAGTTGTTACTTTTCATTTGTATTTAAAGGCGAAATTATCGTTGCAGACAAGTAATCAGCCCTCCTCACAGGTAAGAGTTTTAAGTAAATTATAATATATTTACATTTTTTGAGATACTTAAGTCATTTAATATGAAATCTACCTTTTAGAGCATTGAAGCTAAAAATACATTTGGGGATGTGTCTCCTTTGGTCTTTGCCCACTCTTTTCCTTGAGAGTGCTGTACTGTATTTTATAATAAACTTATTTCCTATCATAAAAAAATTGAATGTGTTTATTTAAGTTTTAGAAGTCTGCTTTCTGAGCATAGAGTAATCTGTCAGAGGAGAGATTTGTTATTAGTTTTAATTTTTATGCATTATGTATTACGAATGTCTTCAAAGAGGTGAGATTTGTTATTAGTTTTAATTTTTATGCATTATATTAAAAATGTCTTCAAAGCTTGGTTATGGTGTCTCATGCCTTTAATCCCAGTACTCTGGAGGCAGAGGCAGGAGAATCTCTGTGAGTTTGAGGCCAGCCTGGGCTACAGAGCAAGTTCCAGGATAACCAAGGGTACACAGAGAAACCCTGCCTTGAAAAACAAAACAAAACAAAAATGTCTTCAAGTTTCTCCATGCAATATTTAAGAGATAAATGACAAGCATATTTTATTTTCCCAGAGACCATCTTGGTGGCCCTTTGAGATGTCTCCTGGTGCATTAACTTTTGCTATTATATGGCCTTTTATTGCCCAGTGGTTGGTGCATTTATATTATCAAAGAAGGAGAAGGTAATAATAAGTTTTATAATTGAAATAGTGCACGAACTCTTATAACTTGTAGTAGATGTAACTTGCAGCAGTCGTTAAGGCAATAGGTCTACTTTATAGATGCATTGCCATTCTGAACATCTGCTGATCCTGAGACTAAAACTACCTTGGAAAAGGTATCTGTGGATTTCTGTGTGCTTGTAAAAGGTAAACAGTGTTTTCACTCGGATCTGTGATGGATTTGTACACCTTTAATTTATGTAACATGACAGTGACTGTATGCTTTGTAAGTTTTATGGCTTGTTGAAAACATGGTGCTCTAAAAGACTCTTTATTTCTAGAGAGCTTTAATAGAATTTTAGAAGCAGCAGTCACTGTTTTGGTAGCTCCCATCCCTTTAAAATTGTTTATATGTATGCTCTTTGGAGATACAGACCTTAACTGAAATGACTTCTACAATAGTTACATATTTTAGGTGTGCTTCAACCCCCCTTTTATTTTTTATTATTTTTATTTTCTTTGGGGTATGTTGAGTGTAGAGCCCAGGGCCTCATACTAGGCAAACGGTCCACCACTGAGATGAGATGTAACTTCCAGCGCGCCCCCCCCCCCCCCAAACTTCTTTTCTTGTTTCTTTGGTGGAAAGCCAGTAGTTAGGGCTGTGGAGATAACTAGTTGTACAGCAAGCATGAGGGACCTGAGTTTTATTTTCAGTACCTACAGAGCAGAGCTGGGCATGGCCACACATGCTAAGGAGGCTGCTACAGGGTGGTAAGGGGCTTGCTGCTCAGCCAGCCTGGTCTACTTGGTGAGCTTCACTGCCTCCACTAAAACAGAGGTTCTCAACCTTCATACTGCTGTGACCCTTTAATACAGCTCTTCATGGTGTGGTGACCCCAACCATAACATATTTTTGTTGCTACTTCATAACTGTAATTTTGCTACTGTTATGAATCATAATGTAAATATCTGTATTTTCCAGTAGTCTTAGGCGACACCTGTGAAAGGGTTGTTTGACCCTCAAAGGGATTTTGACCCACAGGTTGAGAACCACTGCTCTAAAGCATGGATAACCTCTAAGGCAGTGGTTCTTAACCTGTCACAGCATTAGGAAAGTCGAGAACCACTGCTCTAAGGAATGATAGCTGATGACCTATGCTTCTATGTGCATTCAGCACATACACATGCACTACACACACGTGATCGCATGCACACATGCACACATATATACACAAAATACATAAAAAGAAGGTAGTTGAGAAATTTGGCATAGAACAATAATTATTTATTTTTTTAACTTAAGATTGAAACAGCTTACCACATCATGAAAGGTTAAAAAAAAAATGGTAAATCCAAGCATTATAATCCATGCCTATAATCTCAGCATTTGTGAGGTGGAGACAGGAGGATCAAGAGTTCCAGGCTAGCCAGTTACATAGTAAAACCCTGTCTTACAAAAACAAAGTAGAAGAAAAATTGTTTTAGCAGTTACAGAAAAGTAGATTTTTTTTTTTTGTTTATTTCTCTTTGTTCTTTGTTCTTTGAGCTTGAGTTTCAGTCTTTGCTTAGGCTGGCTTGAGTGCAGGCTGGCTTTGAACTTGCAGTGGTATCCTGCCTTAGTCTCTCGAGTGCTGGGATTGTAGGCCTGTGTTGTCACGCCCCTTTGAAATTGGACTATTTCTGTAAAATTACTTCAGTAATTCATTTACTTTAGTACTTCATTGCTAGCGAAGTCTAGTAAAGGAGGCTCACCGTTTCTTTTAAGTATCCCTTTTAGTTGTTCAGAGATGGAGAAACAACCGTTTCTGCTTTATTATTGAGTTTTTCACTGTTAAGTGATCTTTCCAGTTGCAAATTTTTCAGTACAGTGTGTTTTAGTGTATGTTTAAACACAGTTTGCTTACGTATGTGCCTGATAGTCCTGGGTTGGAGGCAGCAAAACCAAGTTTAAAAGGAAATGAGTTTTAGGCTTGAGAGGATTTAGGTATCTTAATCTTAATCTAGCAGTTTTTTCTAATTTTTATTTTATTGAAAATAGATTTTTTTGTATAATATATCCTGATTATATTTCCTGTCCCTCTATTCCTCCCAGTTCCTGCCCACCTCCTTTCCCTTCCAGATCTACTTCCTTTCTGTCTGTCATTAGAAAAGGACTTGTAGGAAATAACAAAACCAAATATGACAAAATAAGTATAAGATGAAGCACAAACTATCATATCGAAGTTGGATAAGGCAATGCAACAGGAGGAAAAGAGTCCCAAGAGCAGGCAAAGAAAGACTCAGAGACCTGCTCGTTTTCACAGGGTCTACTTTTTTTGAGGCAGGGTCTCATATAGTCCTGGGTGGCCTCCACTCCCAAGTACTGGGACAGAAGACAACATTGAAGCTGTTAATGTGACAGAAGGGTATTTCAACCACTCTCAGCCTTCTCGGACTCCTACATTCAGTTTGTTGGGGACAGTGAGCCTATCAGTTAGAAACACTGTAGAGCTGGGTGGTGGTGGGGCACGCCTTTAGTTGCAGCACTCGGGAGGCAGAGGCAGAAAGATCTCTGTGAATTCGAGGTCAGCCCTGTCTACAGAGCGAGTTCCAGGTCAGCCAGGGATATGCAGAGAAACCCTGTTTCTAAAAATAAACAAAAGAGTAGGAATGGGGAGGTCTCAAGAGGAATATTCTTTAGCCTGGGGGGAGGCATGTATAAGGTACTGACATAAAGTCAGCCCAGGGGAACTGGGCATAATGATTTCTACAGAGGAGAGAATCTGTAGCAAGCACCAGGCATTTTAGCATTTTGAGTGCCATTAGATAGGGAGGCTTTACAGTAGAGGAACCTCCACATACAGTCCTCATAGAGTTTAGCAGGTGATTGGAAGATTGAATTGTTATTCCTTTTTCTGCGATTTTTCTTTTAATAATACACTACATCCTCTGTTTTGTAAGTTAATTAAAGACATTTAGGTACACAAAACAAAGATTCCATTAAAAACTTGAAAAACATTCTGAAGTTTTGAAGATCATGATTGATATTTATTGGCACTTTGGAAGATTGGGAGATCAAGAAGGAACTAAATTGCTGCTTTGCAAAGGGCTGTGTGTAGCAATCTGCATCATGGGGTTCTTAATAAGTGTAGTGAACTGTGCAGGCACCCTCCAGCTACCATTTCTGCTACATCTTCGCAAGCAGTTATCTTCAGAACCACCCACATCTCTTTGTCAGGCATTTCAATTTTTTTCTCCATGGGCATTTTGTTCCTGATGTAGAGACCCCCTGTTGTTTAAAATCTGATTATTTTTTGTTTTGTTTTGTTTTTTGTTTTTCGAGACAGGGTTTCTCTGTGTAGCTTTGCGCCTTTCCTGGATCTCGCTCTGTAGACCAGGCTGGCCTTGAACTCACAGAGATCCGCCTGGCTCTGCCTCCCGAGTGCTGGGATTAAAGGCGTGCGCCACCACCGCCCGGCTAAAATCTGATTATTTAAAATGCCACTCATGCCAAGGAAGTGTATATAAGAAGTTTTCTACAGAACTTAAAGCACCCGAGTGTTTAAAATATTACGCCTGTGGCTAGAGAGAAGGCTCAGCTGTTAAGAGTATATACCATTCTTCCAGAGGACCCTAGTTTGGTTCCCAGCACCCATGTTGGTGCCTCACAACTATCCCTAACTTCAGGGGATCTAATGCCTTCTTCTGGACTCTGTGGACACCCGAAGTCATGTGCACATGTTTCCCCCCTTTAACACATAATTAAAAATAATAAAATATTACTGCCAATGAGTTGCATAGTTAAGAGTATGTCTAGAGAGAGGAATCAATCTGTAATGGAAGTTCCAGGCAGTTTGGCATCCTGAGTCAGCTGTATATTCTTTCCAGCTGTGGGGGCTTTTGCAAATCATGTATTGATGGTTGTGCTCTGAACTAGCAAGACTACCCGTATCTGGTAGCTTGCTCTACTTTAATTAAAACTGTCACATATATCCATTTTTTTGAGGTGTATGTTGAGGTGTATGTTTCTCCACCCCCCGCCACTGAACTGAACTAGGAGCCTGCCATATTTAACCTCTGAATCCCTGGTACAGTACCTGAAAATAAGTCTGCATTGCTAAACTTTTTTGTTTCATATTTTCATTTTCATAAAATTATGAATTCCCCCAAGTATTAACTGGATAGTAGCCAGTTAGAAAAGTATGAGAATTAGAAGGCAAAAGGAGAGAGATAAATTGAAATTATTTATTAAAAACTACTTGAAGGCTGTTATATAATAGCTTGGTATACTGCATATACTTAGCACATGAAAGGCCCTGGGCAATCAATAAATACACAGAAAACTGTTTGATAATTTTGGTGCCTTTCCTACCATGCTAAGTCACATGAAGTAACTTCCTAATGATCATTTGTAGTTTTATAGTTTTATCTTGAATTTGAATGTTGTGTCCAGAAAATTCTTTGGTATCAATTTGCTTGATATTCAGGTTGCATTTATACTTACAGGATTTGTTTTTACTTTCTTTTTAAAGAAAACTAAACTGAAGAAAATCACATTTTACTCAAGAGGACTTCTGGACCTGGATGACCTAAAATATGAAATGGATTGTAGATTTCACAAGAAAATCTCAGTTTGTGATGATTACATTTCTTTTTTGTCCAATAGTTTGGTTTATATATATATATATATATATATATATATATATATATATATATATATTCTTTGCACTACACAAATGGTAACATTTTAAGGACTAATATTGCTGATACTTGAAAAATCAATCTCAGTTAGGTTTTAAGTGGCATAGTTAGACTTACTCTTTTTGAGCTTGAAGGACATTAAGTTATTAATTATTGTTTAGTAACAGGTTTACCTGACTTTCTCCCATAAGAAATATAAACTGCTTTTATAAGGCACTGTTATGATTATAAGATAAGATTTATAATATTTACTTTTCTAAATTAAACACAAGAAAGAATTCAATACAAGAGTAGATTTAAATAAGGTTAAATCAATTTTGTATCAGTCACTGAACTGTCAGCCAGGTAGCAGAAAACAGATGGAAGAATCCTCTACGTTTTTTGTGGTGTGCAGAGTCTTGGGATTTCACGACTCAGAAAATCATTGTCCTTTGTACTGTGGTTACTTTTTACAAATGATTCGATTCATTGAACAGACTTAACTTGATGATGGAAATGATGGAGAATAGGCCTAATATATGTGTAAAAGTGTGTTCCAAGCTGACACTGAGAACTAATCAGATTTTAATTCAATCATACATACTCTTACTCCTTTGAAATAATTTTTCTTTAAGTGAGGATATCCAGTGTCTGCTTCATAGGGTGCTTTGCAATAAAATGAGAACTTATTTATACTGTTTTTACTAAGGAAAAACGCATGAAAATCCTTTTTTTTCTGCAAGTGGTAAACTCCAGTTTGGATTCTTAACCTCTTAGTGCCTCAGGTTTTCCTTTGGGGTGTACTCACAAGGTATTAGAAGGACCTTAAATATACAGGCCATCTGTGTCCACATAATCAAGGAATGCCTAACTAATGGAAACTTAAGTTCCTTCTGGCCATTAGACCAAAAAGATTAATTTAGATCCTAGAAGACTGTATTTGAAAAAAATCCTTCTTGTATACTTTCCAAAACCTGTGCTCACTCATATACCTTATGCTTTGAAGATGTAATTCTACTTTCTAGCAAATCTCCCCTTTTTTTCCTTTTGAAACAGTCTCAGTAGTAGCTCATGCTGGCCTCCAATTTATATGTAGCTAAAGATGACCTTGAACACTTGATGTAACGGTCTCCACTTCTCTCCAGTTTCTGGGACCACAGGCATGTACCACCATGGCTAGCTTCGTATAGTAAAAAAAAAAAAATCAATGCATTCTTGATGTATATGATGTTGGGGGTATTAGCATTAGGTATTGAATATTTTCAGTAAAAGTGAAAGAATCCCTATCTAGTATATATGGTTGTTCTTTGAAGAAAAAAGTATGAGAACATGATTTGCTTGTCCCAGATTTCTCTTTTTTTTTTTTAGCTGTACTTATTTTTTAAATTGCATATCACATCTTGGTTGATCTGTTTAAAAGGAGCTACTAGTATTTGCTTAAGATACAAAACAAACCCAAATCTATCTTCTACTTATTTAGAAGGAAAAAAAAGCAAATAACTGAATTATCATAGAGAAAGTGTGGATCAAGAGCTTATTTTTTTTAAATTAGACAAGTTGGTATCATAAAATGATGGCTTTCTTATATAAATAAAATGCAAATCAAGGATGTAACCAGTTGTGATTCATTGCAAGTAGTCAAGATAACTAACTCCTAAGGACAACCATTTGTATCTTATACCAGAATTACTTTATAGTTTGAAAAGCACTTTGCACAGTTCTTGTATATAAAAGATGTAATTATAGGATATAATGGTAATGCTTTAAAACATAAACCTCATTTTAAAAATTGACAGCTATGATATTTTTTTAATGATCAGCTTTTCTGTTTATTGTAAAACTAAGTTAAAAATAAAAGGTTAATGAGAAATGAAATTTTTTTTTATTACTGGTTAACTGTATTGATGTGTACAAAGCTAAAATGAGTGTAAATAATATTGAGTTCATATAAAGTAATCCTGAGTGGCAGGCAGGAGATACAGCTCTTCCACATGCCAAGCATGTGAGGTTCAAGATTCAGTCCCCAGCACCACGCAAAGAGAAGAAACTCATGAGACTAAATAAAACCATATTATGTGTAATTTGATGAAAATTTCAGAAGTGAATTCAATTTAACTCATTTGTCATATGACTGGGGATATTAGTAATACAGTTAAATGAGGTAGGGTTTTAGTATGTAGCTCAGACTGGCCTCAGACTTGAAGCAGTCCTCTTCCTGCCTACAAAGGACAAAGAAAAGTCATTTTAATTTTCCGTAGATGTGAAGCTGGGGATGTAAAGGTATAGAGTAATGTTTGCTTGGACTCCTCTGGTGCTGTCTCTTGGCTCACAATAGAGTTGTCCCCAGTGAAGGAGAATTTATACCTACCTGTATACAGAAGGATAGAGAGGACTGTCCTGTGTTTTCTGTTTGAAATGCCTTTAGCTCAAACTGTTTATGCGAGAGGTATATTTGGAGGTGGCATTCTTATTTCTTCAGATGAGTTGATTTCTGTAGGGGACAACCAAGATCATTTATCTCCTTGTTTTGGTTTCTCTTTAACAAGAGTCTGAATGTAGCTTCCCAACAGGTGTAAATTTAGATGAGTCATTTATTCTCAACAAATATCATTACAGCATGCCTTATCTAGCAGAATTTTAGGTGACTGTAGCTGTATATGCCATGTCTGTCATAGCAAATTGTAGTTTTCTACTCAATTTTATTTATTTCTACTAATTTTATGTCAACTTGACACTAACGAGAGTTATCTGAAAGGAGGGAACCTCAATTGAGAAAATGCCTCTGTAAGATCTGACTGTAGGGCATTTTCTTACTGATTGATGGGGGAGGGCTCAGACCATTATGGGTGGTGCCATCCCTGGGATAGCCCTGGGTTCTATAAAAAAGCAGGCTGAGCAAGGCATGATAAACAAGCCAGTAAGCAACTCTCCTTCATGGCCTCTGCATCAGCTCCCGCCTCCAGGATCCTGCCCTGTTTGAGTTCCTGTCCTGACTTCCTTTGATGATGAACAGTGATATGGAAGTGTAAGCCAAATAATTCCTTTCCTCTCCAACTTGCTTTTTGGTCATGGCATTTCATCACAGCCATAGAAACCCTAAGACAGGGTCCTGTCTTCTCTATTAGAAATAAGTCCAATTCAGTAATACTTCAAGTTTTAGTGTTTTTGAGAGTGCATGTGCCCATGCCATAGCACATGTATGGAGGTCAGAAAACAGCTTACAGTTCTCTCCTCACTGTGTGGTTCCTAGAGACTGAACTTGGGTGCTCAGGATAGGTGGCAAGTGCCTTTACTCACTGAACCATCTTACCCTAGTTTTTGTTTTCCAGAATGTTTTAATTACTCATTCATGTATGTCCCATTTAGTCAGTTGAATAAATGATATGTATTAGTTATTTTTCTATTGCTGTGATTAAGACAACACTACCAAGGCAGCTTATTAAAAAAAACACTTTATTTGGGGCTTATGGTTTCAGGGGTAGAGTTCACGATGGTGGAGCAGAGGTAGCAGGCAACATCTGAACATTCATATCTTAACCATAAGCAGGGGCAGAGCATACTGGGAGTGACCTGAGTCTTTTGAAACCTTAATGCTCACCCTCAGTGACATACTTCCTATTCTTCCCAAACAGTTCCACCAACTAAGTATTCAAACATGAGCCTTATGGGGGCCATTCTTATTGAATCCATCACACAATCAAAAACAACACTGCTGGAACCTTAGGTTAAATAACCGTGAAAGGAGAAAGAATTCTTTTTTTAATTTTAATTTTTTATTCTTTACATTCTCTACAGACAGGTAAAATAAAACATAAATGTGCAAAGTGTTGTTGATTTGCTGTCAATGAAAAAACACCACCAACTACTATGAAAACAGCAACTTATGAGAGAACCAAAAGGTAGAAGAAAACATTTTTACATCTTTGAAAAGAACTGTTTCTCTTCTGTGTACTCAGAGCACACTGTTTCTTGGAATAAATGTATCCCTATGTCTATTCAGCCATCCACTGACATACTTTCTTGTCTAGAGTTCAGTGCTTTCTTCATATAGCCCAGGCAGGTTAGGACCTCTCAGTAGTCCACAGCAGAATTTCATTTTACTATAACCAATTGTCCAGTGATTTGCTTTAAGAAACCACTAGGGGTTTGCTTCTGCAGACTCATTTTTAACTAACTGGGATCCAGAGCTCTCAGAGGCCAGGCCTCCTTGGACTCCTAGTTTGTTAATCTGGCTCTGTTTATTCTAATTCTACAAAGGAATTTGTATTTGTGTTACTGGAGATTGAACCCAGGGTCCTATGCACACTAGGTAAGTATTCTCTACCTCCAGCCTCCAAAGTAATTATATCATTCGCCAGTATATTAGTGCTCAATATTAACCTGCCCATGGCATTTTGATGTGTTAGCACAATTGTTTAACCATTTTTTTTTTATGTCAGGCTTTTTCCCCCTGCTACTTGAAAACACTATAAAAGGATGATAGATTGAGCAAATAGCCTATAGAATATGCTGTCACCTGAAAGTGTGACTCACTTTAAATAAAGTTGTAGTAACTGTATTTTGAATATTTTTATTTAAAAAGGTGACTGGAAAATTTAAGTGGTCATTACTAGAATAAGCAGAGTGAAACCTTTAACCCAAGGATTCCATACCCAGCACCAGTTACGCTGTGTCTTTTACTGTAACAGACTTAGACTTCTCTCATCTTTGCAAACTGTGTTATATCTGGGCTGTGACTAGGTGAAAAATGAAAGTAGAAACACTAAAGTCAGTGTGCAAAAGGTTATTGGTAAAACCTTACCTATGATACATTTAAATCTTAATTTTGCTCTTCTAGGGAAATGCTAAAAGCCTCAATCAGTTTAAGATAAGACGTGAGCTGATTCTTAGTACATTCTTTGAAAGAATGATGCTGACAATCACTAGTTACAATTACTAAGCAAAAGTAGATTATTACTATTTGTCTCTGATGATGTTAGAAATAAGATGTAAAGTATATTTTTTTCTATTAAAACTGAACAAGCTATTAAGATTGCTTAAAGTGTCACATCCAACCTTTCTAGAACTCATAAACAGGAATTATAGAGGGAAGCAACAAAAGCAATCAGGTAGCAAAAGCAAAATTCTATCGATAGGAAGGTAAGCTAAACCCTTAAAACCTTAGTTCTTTTGTCTAGACTGCACTCCGCAAAGTTATGCTACTGAGTAATAGTTTTCCAGCTACCTTTTTTAAGTTTTGCAAGACAGGGTCTCACTATGTATTCCTGACTGGTCTCCAGCTCAGAGATGGACCAGGCTGACCTTAGTCTTGAAATTGCAGTCATACTCCTGTGTTGTGTCTGCCTCCTGAATATTGGGACTTCCAGCTTGCATCAGCATGTCTGGCTCAAATGATTTTGATAGTTATGTATTATCTTATATGACTGCCCCGAGACCACAGTTTTGCAGGCAACCATGTACAAATAAATTTAAATGAAATCATCCTTTTTTGTTTGTTTGATATTAACACCAAAGTGAACAGAACAATGAAATCAGCAGATACAGACAAGCTTATGGCTCTTTCCCTCTGTATAGAGCAGTAGTGTTGTTTTAGGTTATTGATACGTTAGTCTTCATAAAGTGCAGTGAATAAATAATAAGATGAAAAAAGCTGTGATGATTTATATGCAGTTTAAGGTAAAGATAAATTACATATTGTATTTCAACTCTGTAAAAGCTGTTGTATTTAGTAATTAAAAGCTCATTAGCCTAGGTATAATAATGACTTCTATCCTGTTAGATCAATCTAGTGTGAAGGAACATGTTATTGCAAAACCTAATTCTATATCACAAGGTTAAGTAAAAATGACATGTGTGTTCTACAGACTAAACCCAGATATGGTGAGATGCTGAGCATTATTCCTGGCTTCAAAATAGGATGTATCTGTTTCATCATCTGGTTGGGGTACGAAAGGCATTGGTTGGTGCTGCAGATTTTCCCAGTCCACTTCACTGAAGAGAGGATGATGTTTCAGTTCTTAAGAAGGAAATATGTAAAAAACCAAAAACAACATTATAATACTTAAGCTCTGCTTTCAGGAATTAAAAAGAGAAAGTTTTATATATATCTTGCCCTACTTTATTATACCAAATATCACTGATATTTGTTTAATGTGTGTCTCCCTATTAGGCTACATACTTTACACTGTATCGTTTTGCATATCACCTGGTATATTAGGGGGCCTGGTTTATATTTGTCTAGTAAGTGAATAAATGGGACAGTAGAAGTGGATTTTCCTGATGCCATCACCTTCTCACACAATCCCTCATTTTAAGACAGTCTGGCTTACTTCTCCCCTACCTCTGGAGCTCATATGACTAATGCTCCAGTTCTCATTTTACCTCCTCACCTCCCTGTCACATCATGGCAGTTTTTAAGCACCATAAAGTTCCTTTTTCACTCTTTGTTTTCTATACTTTATTTTCCTTCATGCTGATTCCACATACACACTGATGATGACCGACTGTATATTTAACTTACTGTTCTATTGTTTCTGGTCTTTTTATGTGTTTGCAATAAGGTCTCACTGTGACCCAGGCTGGCCTGGAACTCACTGTATAGCCCAAGCTGAAAGTTTTTACAGTCCTCTTCCTTCACCTTATATGGGTTTACAGGCATGGACCACCATGGCTTTGCTCTGGTCTTTGATGACATTTCTCTCACATTCTCTCCATGTCTCTTTCCCTTACTTGGTTCCACTGACTGCATCCTTAGCATTTACTAGCTAGTACTGCAGGTACATCTAGAATCTTCCCATCACAGCACTCCTGCTTATAAAATGTCAGGCTCTTCACTTTTTGTTTGTTTCATTTTGAGATAGGGTCTCTATGTAGTCCTGGCTGTCCTGGAACAGGTCTCTGTATAGACCAGGTTGGCCTCAAACTCTGCCTGCCACTGCCTCCGGAGTACTGGGATTAAAGGTGTGCACCACCGGGCCTAGCTCCTCTTCACATTTTTTTTCTCTTCTACCTCCTAAAATAAAAACATGCTCACTTGTTTGACTAAACTGTGATATTTAATTGCTAGAAATAAGCTCCCCTTTCTTTAATCTTTTACTGTTTCTTCTTTGCCGTGCTGGTGACTGAACCCAAGGCCGTGCGCACACTGTGCAAGTGTCTACAGTGGGCTACACCTCCAGCCCCAACTCCTCACTTTTTTTTTTTTTTAAATTATGGAGCCTAGGCTGGCTTTGAACTCACAGCAATCCTTCTGTCACAGGCACCTTCCTAAGTGCTGAGACTATATGTTTGAGCCACCACGTCCAGCTTTCCACCCTTTACCTTTTTTTTTTTTTTTTTGGTTTTTTCGAGACAGGGTTTCTCCGTGTAGCTTTGCGCCTCTCCTGGAACTCACTTGGTAGCCCAGGCTGGCCTCGAACTCACAGAGATCCACCTGGCTCTGCCTCCCGAGTGCTGGGATTAAAGGCGTGCGCCACCACCTTTTTTTTTTTTGTTTTTGTTTTTTTTTTTGTTTTTTCGAGACAGGGTTTCTCTGTGTAGCTTTGCGCCTTTCCTGGATCTCGCTCTGTAGACCAGGCTGGCCTCGAACTCACAGAGATCCGCCTGGCTCTGCCTCCCGAGTGCTGGGATTAAAGGCGTGCGCCACCACCGCCCGGCCCCACCCTTTACCTTTTAAAGCAACAATAGAAATGCTAGTAAATAAAGAAGTGACAAGGCAGTAAGTAAATAAAACCAAAAAAAAGTATCTACTTTTAAGGAGAAGAGGGTGCCTACACAGAATATTTGTATCGGGAATCTTGATTTAGGAGATTTATATGCATATAAATTGTTTTTCCTCTAAACTAAAGGACTGGTAGAAGCCAGGCATGGCAGCTCACACCTGTAATCCCAGCACTCAGGAATCTGAACAAGAGGACTGCTTTAAGTTCAGGGTCAGCATGGATTATATATGCAATTCTGGGTTATAGCATGAGATGTTATCTTAAAAAACCAAAACTGAGTCAGGCATAGTGTCATACGCCTGTAATCCCAGCACTTAGGAAATGGGAACAGGAGGCTATATAAGGGACTTCAGGTCAGTCTAGGCTATAATGAGACTGTCTGGAAAAATATGAAAGAGAGGGGGAGGAAAAGAAAGAAGAATAATAGAAAAAGTGATAAAATTCCAAAAATAATTTCCACTTGGAGATTTATTTTATCTCAATCTTTAAAATAAGTACCTAAGAATAGATAAATTTAAAAATTATTTTTGTATGGTGGTTCTCAACCAGAGTGACTTTTTCCTGTACAGAATTATTGGCATTGTCTGAGATACTGTTTTGGTGTTATAATGAGGCATCTGTTGTATAGAGACCAGTTATTCTGTTAAATATTCTGCAGTATGTAAGACAGCTTCACAATATTTTACTTGAAAGCTAAAAAATCATTCCAGAAAATAATTATATACTATATGCTAAAAAAAATGTAGGGCTAGAAGAAAATATTCTAACCAGTCATAACAGTGGAGACTTATTTTGGAGACTTTCATTTTTTAGAAGTATTGTTATTATCAGTGTAGCCAGAAAAAAAAATCTTAAATTTTATACATTTTATAATTTTCTCTATTTTCTTCCTAGCAAGTTAAAATTTTTAGCTTCAAATATGCTTTAAGCAGATATACTTTTTCTTAAATAATTATAAAAAAAGATTTATTTTTGTCTGGACCTGGTGCTGTATGCCTTTAATTCCAACACTGAAGAAATAGGTGGATTTCTGTGAGTTTGAGGACAGCCTGGTCTACATAGTGAGTTCCAGGCCAACCAGAGATGCATAGTAAGACCTCGTCTCTAAAATTTAAAGAAAAATTTTTTACATGTCTGAGTATTTTCCTGCATGTATGTATGTGCACCACATGTGTGCCTGATGCCCAGGGAGGTAAGAAGTGGCATCATATCCCTTAGAACTGGAGTTGTAAAAGGTTGTAAGTCACCATGTGGGTGCTGGGAACCTAGCTGGCTTCTTCTGCAAGAGCAGCAACTGCTCTTAATGGTCGATGCATCTCTCTGTCCCCATGATAGAATACTGTGCACAATAGGAACTGAACTCCGGTCCCCTAGCAACAAAAACAGTTGCTTTTTCTTAATCACTGAACCATCTCTCCAGTCCCTCTAGAGCCTTTTTAATGAGAAAACTGGGATACTTTGCCTCTGAATGTGCCTCTGTCTGCTGAGCTATCTCAGCAACCCTCTTTACTTAGTTTAAGACTAAGTCTGTATAAGACAATGCCTAGTATGCCATAGGTATTCAAAGTTAAAGGAAAAAATAACCCTAGCTCCTCTCAAATGATAGTGTTTTATTATTTAAATGTGTTGGCATGTGTGTGTAATGTGCAAGTGCAAGTTTGTATGTGAGTGCAGGCAGGCCTGTGCAGCTGTGGTACATGGGTGTTGATCAGTAGACAATCTTTGCTGTCAGGTCCAAGCCTTCCTTTTTTTTTTTTTTTTTTAAATATAGGCTCTTTTATTTACTTCATGTCTCAGACTAGCCCATGAGCATCTGAGGGTTCTCAGTCTTTGCCTCCCCTCTTACTGTGGCACATTGGGATTACAGATGTGTGCTACTGCATCCAACTTTATGTGTGTTCTGGGGATCCAAACACTGGTCCCTCATACTTGCATAGCAAATTCTTTATCTACTGAGCCATCTCCCCTGTCTATTTTAAATACTTTATTATTATTATTATTATTTTTTTTTTTTTTTTGAGACAGGGTCCCACTATGTAGCCTGGCTGTTGTGGAACTCACAGAGATCACAGAAATGCAGCTAGGATAGCATTTTATAATAGCAACCTAACCAATATGTTTTGTTCAGATACTCAGATGTATTAAAAATAACATTTCAAGACTGGGCATGGTGTCGTACACCTTTAATCTCAGTGCTCAGGAGGTAGAGGCAGGCAGATCTCTATGAGTTCAAGCCCAGCCTGGTCTACAAAGTGAGTTCCAGGACAGCCAGGGCTGTCAACCCTGTCTTGAAAAATCAAACCAAACCAAACCAAACCAAAAATTTCAAGGATTCAGAATGGCCAAATAACAATGTACACTCTTTGGAGTCCAATATGGGGTTTCAGGAGTTAAATGTGGCTTAATCATTGGAATTTTGAAAAAGCTCAAATGGAGTGGTCAGGTATGTGTAAGCTCACTTTACTTTACATAGGTTTCTGCTCAATCCTGCACCTGAAAGAGGTCTCCCCAAGTACTCTGTGCAGACTTGTCTCTAGGACTTACTTTGTATTTTCCCACTCTGCTTTATTTTTCTTCATAGTATTATGCCTACATGGTATTAACAACTATTTGTTTAAGGAAACATTTTAAAGTAAGTCCCACAGTGAGAGGGATTTGAGTAGTTCAGCCTTGGGTAGCCCCAGGACCACAGCAACATTGACAAATGTTTCAAAGTCATCCAATAGGTTTAATTATACCAATAACTGTTGATCTTTATTTATTTGTGAGTCTGTCTATCTGTCTGTCTGTCTTAAGTTCATAAGTAATCATGAAAGCCAGAAAAGGGTGTTGTTTGCCCTGGAATTGGGAGGTATATGTTGTGAGTCAGTAGGTGTTGTTGGGAACCAAACTTACATCCTAGAACAGCAAGTACTCTTATCTGCTGAGTCATCTCTATAGATCCCAAACTGTTGACCTCATGAAAAGAACATGTAGAAGCTGATGCAAGTAAGATTCTCCCCACTTCTCTCTCTCACACACAAATAAATAAAAATTAAAAAAAAAGATGTGTGTGAGCATGGGCACAGATGCCATGGCATGTGAGTAAAGGTCAGAGGACAGCTTTCATGAGTTCCTTCTCCACTGTGGATTCTGGGATTTGAACTCAGGTTGTCAAGTGTTTTTGCCTACTGAGCCATTTTTCCATCCTGACATGACATATTTCCAAAGTTCATTCTTTTGCATATACTCTGCTTCATGTAGAAATGCATTTTGGGTCACAATGCTTATTTGTCTATATTACAATAACATAATACAAGTTTTTTAGGTGCTGAAGCGTGAACCTGATGCTGGACACAAAGTATCTTAGCTGTATCCTTAACATTAAGAAAAAATGATTTTAAGGCTGCTGTCAATGAGCTTTACCTCAGTTTCAAAGTTAGGATCATGTATACATCCCCAAGCATTGAAAAAGCCTTCAAATGATTCATAACGTACTGAATATGTCTTATTTGAGGCAACCTGGGATGAAATGCTTTGTTAGTAAGAATGGAATCAAAACTTAAACAATACAAAATTACACAACAGGATATTCATAAAGAGATGTGCAATAGTTGACTATCAGGTATAGAAAACCCAAGATACAATATAATACTGTTTCTTGTACCTCATGGAAAGTTACACAATTCAGTGTGTGAGTTGCAACTAGACTGCACTGAGTTTTGAATTAAAGACAGTAGACAAGTGCATATCTAGAGGAACTATCTTTTTACCATTAAGAGGTCAGATTACTGTACTAACCTGATGTTATAATTGCTACCTGGAACCAAGCAAGCGTAAAATAGTTCATTGACAAAAAAACCTTACCTTTCATTCCAGCTCTCTTTGTATCATCAATGGTTAAAAGTATTTCCATTGCACTCTGAGCATGATCAGATAACTTTTCTTCACCTTCTGGCCAAGGGATATCTACAAATACAAATATACAAGTAAAAATGTTCAACTTTCCTTTGGGGATCCACACTTGAGTATGTCTTACTTTCTGCAAACCTTGGAGAAGTTGACACCCATAATCTGGGTGTATCTTACTTTGAGTGCTTCTTTTTCTAATACCCCTCTGAATCCAATCTTAACTTTATATTAAAATACTTTTATTAAATAGGTTTGTTAATCATTCCCATAGAGATAAATGAATTTTTTGTTCTATGGATGGAATTAAGGGTCTTGTGTATGCTTGATAAGTGTTTACAACTGAGCTACATCCTCCAACCCTGAATCTATCTTAATAAAGAAAAAAATAAAAATCACCTCTTTTTAAAATATTCTGGAATACTTGTTGTGGAGTTTCATCATTAAAAGGGGGAATTCCAGTTAGAAATTCAAACAAGCAGACTCCAAGTGCCCACCAATCTACTGCAGGACCTGGGATTTAAGAGGAGATGAGCTGAATTTGTAAGCATGTTATACAGATATTTCACAACTAAAACTTGAGTATACTGATGCTTGAGCAATCAAGACCTTCTTGATTTAGGACTTCCTTCTGTTTCTGTACAGTATAAAAACCAAATTACCTTCAGTTAAAGGCAATGGGTTAACCATTACCTTAGTTTTTTTTTTTTGGTTTTTTGAGACAGGGTTTCTCTGTGTACCTTTGCGCCTTTTCCTGGAACTCACTTGGTAGCCCAGGCTGGCCTCGAACTCAGAGAGATCTGCCTGGCTCTGCCTCCCGAGTGCTGGGATTAAAGGCGTGCGCCACCACCGCCCGGCTTACCTTAGTTTTTAAAAGGCTTAAATTTGCAGTTGTTACAGATACTTAAAGACATTTCAAGGCCACTTCTTGATTGACTAATAACTTCTGATATTTTGAATATTTTATGAATTCTAAATCTTTAAAGTGCAATGAAGGAGTATATTTAACTTAAAGACTATTTTCTGACATAGACTTTTTTGTTTGAGACAGGGTTTCTCTGTGTAGTGAAATAGACTGCCTAATTTCAAGTCAAGAAATGACAGCATAGCTGGATCAGCACTCAGGAGGCAGAGGCAGGCGGATCTCTTGAGTTTGAGGCCAGCCTGATGTACAGTGTAAGTTCCAGGACAGCCAGGGCTACACAGAGAAACCCTGTCTTGAAAAAACCAAAAAGAAATGACAATATTGAAATGATTATACTGGCTGGTATTCCAGAGGACCTGTTCCATTCCCAGGACTGCATGGCAGCTTACAACCATCTGTAACTCCAGCTCCAGGGGATCCAATACTTCCTCTGGTCTTAGCAGGCACCAGGCATGAACATGGTGCACAGGCATACATGCAAGGCAAAACACCCATATGTGTAAAAATAAGTAAAATCTCAAAAAAAAGAAAAAGGCATGTTCCACTGTAGAAGTGGTTACATGCAACTGTATTAATTAGAGAACAAAAAGGTGGGACTGGAGAGATGGCTCAGTGGTTAAGAGCACTGGCTGCTCTTCCAGAAGACTTGGGTTCAATTCCCAGCACCCACATGGCAGCTCACAACTATCTGTAACTTCTGTTCCAGGGGATCTGGCACCCTCCTTTCACACAGATATACACACGGGGAAAACATCAATGCACCTAAATAAATAAATATTTTTTAAAAAGGAACAAAGAAAGTCATAAATTAGGCATGACCAAATACACTGGTGGTGCCCACAGGTAGGTCATAGAAAAGTAGGAAAAACTCAGTTATAGTTTTCAGATGCTATCTGATGACATTCTTATGCTTTCGGATTGGTGGAAACGAATGGTTTGCCAGGAATACACTTCTGTTTTTGTTCTTTGCTTTAAAAAAATTTTATTTTCTAAGACACATTTTAAATGTTTTGATAGTCAGAGGATGTTAGGTCAGACACAGGATTTACTTCTTAATGATTTTAGCAACTCCCTCCAAGGCTGCATTCCTGTCTCTTCAGCCCAGTCTTTTTCAGACAGCATTACTCAGTCTTCCTAGCCTTGTAAACAAAAACATTTGGCCTCTGCCTGCACAAAATGTAACTATTCTGCCATTATGGGGACCTGTGAATGAAATTCCCAGAAAGAAAGTCCACATCTGTGTTAAAGACTCTACAAATCAAAGAGATTTTACTTAAATCTCTTAAGTATTATCTAACAGCAATGTATTAATGTTTGTCTTTATTAATTAATGACTGACAACTTTACCTTCTTAGTAGTAAAAATAGACAAAATATATTTAACATAGGATAAAGTCTAGAAACCATGTAAAAGTTTCTCCACATATAAGCTAGTTCTTTAACTTTTAAAAATACTCTAAATGTATATTTTAAGTTTGATTAGTAAAAAGCAGTTTAGCAGTTTGAGCACGGTGGTGCTTTGAATGAGAATGGTCCCCATAGGCTCATAGATTTGAATAGCTGGTCATCAGGGAGTGGCATTACTTGAAATGATTAGGAGGTACGGCCTTGTTGGAGGAAGTGTGTCACTGGGGGTGGGCTCTGAGGCTTCAAAAAGCCCATCCAAGCCCAGAGTCTCTCTCTTCCTGCTGCCTATTAATCCAGATGTAGAACTCTCAGCTCCTTCTCCAGCATCATGTCTGCCTAAATGCCACCATGCTTTCCACTATAATGAAAATGGACTAAACCTCTGAAACTGTAAGTCAGCCCCAGTTAAATGCTTTCTTTTCTAAGAGTTGCCATGGTCATGGTGTCTTCACAGCAATAGAACACTGATTAAGACAAACACTTAATAAAACATGTTATAATAGTTTAATCATCCACTAAATGCAAGACATTAGTTATCACTCTTACGGTTTTGTTCTCTTTTTTTGCCTTATTTTTCGTAATCAACCATTGAAAATGCCAGATTCAAATCATTCAGAAAGCTCAAAATTAATGTCTTAGTATCTACAATTTTGTTGGCCCTGACTGAGATAAAGTCTTTGTATGCCAGATTTTAAAATTCTACATTTAGAATCTGTCATAAATTCTACATTCTAAATGTCTGTATTTTAGCTAGGCCTAGTTAATGACCTGGAATAACTGGGTTTTATTAGCTCAGTGAGACAAAGGATGAGGGAAATGTAGACAGGCAATAATCCCTATATATTACTGCCACTGATATTTTTAAATAATCCTAAAATGCTTACATTTACATATAAATACATTACATTAAAATATACATTTATAGGTACATAAATAATAGAAATTTTAGTTTACAATAAGTTAAAAATGAAGTGGCCAAAGGTTTGTTATTCCATTGTTTTCAGAAATTTTAGGGGCAGACTGAGTTTTTGCCCCATGCTGTTACATAGGCAAAAATGAAAGAATGTTTATAAAGTAAAAAAACAAAACAAATAAAACCCCTCAAATAGCCCAACACTATAGCTCTGTGGATAAAAGCAGTTGCTATGCAAGTTTGACAGCCTGAACTAAATCCCTGGGATCCACGTAAAAGTGGAAGGAGAGGACCAACTCCACAAAGTTGTTCCCACCTTTACATGCATGCTGTATGTCACACACAGCACATATACATGGAAAAATAAAAACAAAATTCTCTGGAAGGCCTGGGAAAAACAACAAATCAAACCCAGAAGTAATTAGTAGAAATAAGGTCAGGGTAGAGCTTAATGAAATAGGAAAAAAAACAAAAAGAAGTAATGAAGTAGAGGTGGTTTTAAAAAAGTTAAACAACATAAACTAACCAAATTAACCTAAAGAGAAGACCCAAATTAATAAAATTAGATAGACGAGACATTACACCAAATACCAATGAATTCAGAAAATCATATTTTAAATATAAGAATCCTACCATCTACTTAGAATAAAGCTACACTGTTGGGTACCACAGATAGATGGCTTCAGCAAAGCAGGTGAAAGGCAGATACAGGCTTCAGATGCTGATGACATTACATTCTTAGCTCTAGGACAGGTGGAGGGTAGTGATCTGCTGAGAATAGTTTTGGTTATGAGAATCACAAGGATGTTCGATCAGATGGGAGTGGGTAGTACATGGCTTTCAAAGGTACTAAAAGAAACTCAAAATAATTTGGCTCTTGTCTGCAACATAATTGGGAAGTTCAGTTTTTTGGCCTTGAAGACTTTAACATGTGTGTTGGGCTGGGAGATGGCTCGGTGCTTGTCAGGTGCCAGACACTTTAATCCTAGCATTCTGTAGGCAGGAGCAGGAGAATCTCTGTGAGTTCGAGGCCAGCCTGGTGTACATAGTTCCAGGCCAGCCAGGGCTACATAGTGAGACCCTGTCTCAAAAAAACAAGCCTCCCCCGACTCCCCGCCAAAACAAACAAAACAAAACAAAACAAAAAAACAAACCCCAAAACCCAACCCAACTAAACCAACAAAAATCTGTGCTTGTAAAGAAGGCATGTGGATCTGAGTTCAAATTCCCAGGCTGTATGTAAAAGCATAGGTGCTATGTCAGGAGTCTGCACCTCAGCGCTCCTACAGGGATATGGGAAGTCTGCAGTCACGTATGTGTATGTACATACATGGGCATTCTCACACACACACGTCTTTATCAAAGGTGTGCCTCTTCTTTGGGAACTTCAATTCACAGTTTCTTCTTAAATTTTTTAAAAATATGTATTATTATTTTTATTTATGTGTCTGTGTGAGTGAATGCCATGTGTATACATGTGCTTGGAGGCTAGAAGACGTTCAGTCCTTTGGAGTTGGAGTTACAGGCAATTGTGAGTAGCATTATGTGGGTGCTGGGAACAGAACTTGGGTCCTCTGGAAGGGCAACAAGCGCTTTCAAGTGCAGATCTGTCTTTCCATCCATAGCAGTTTTTTTTCTTTTTAATAACAGAGAAACTCAGTTTCATAAGAACTATTCACTTAAGTATGGTATGGTAATGAAAGGGAGTTAGGAGGTACATTTTAATAGGTAAAACTGATTTCTAAATCGAACATTTATTGGAATAAAATTTTATTTATTTTTGGACAGAGATTATATTATATTACCCAGACTGACCTTAAACTCCTAGGCTCACGCCATCTTCCTGCCTCCTCTTCCAAAACCAATAATCAAACAAAAAACCAAATCCTAAAACAAACTTGAAGAAATGGGAAGTAGTTGACATTCAGGTGTAGAGTACATGCCTGGGTTCAAATCCATAATTCCATAAAAAACAACCAAGAAAAGATTAGAAGAAGCATTTATATTATGGATTAAATTTTGTCACCACTTCCACTAAAAGTACTGGGTCATTTGTAGATATAATTATGTTAAAATGAGGTTATCCTGGTTAGGACAGGGTTATAATTCAGTATGACTGGTGTTTTTATAATGAGCCAGCTATGAACATGGAGGCTTAAGAGCACCTGGTCGATGTGATAAACAAATAAGAGTAACAATGAATGGTGTGGTGGCACACACCTTTAATCCCAGCATTCGGGAGGCAGAGCCAGGAGGATCTCTTTGAGTTCGAGGCCAGCCTAGTCTACAGAGCTAGTTACAGGACAACCAGAGCTGTTACATAGAGAAACCCTGTGTTGAAAAACAAAACAAACAGAAAAACAACAAAAGAAGAGTAACACTGAATAGACTACTGCCAACAGGAAGTGGGAGAGCATCAGAAATCACAATGGGTATGCTGGGTAGTTGGGAAGTGCTGAGAGCAGAACAATTGAGTCAAATGGGGCAAGCAGCACATAGATTGAGCTACACAGCTCTACAAGGGGCAAGGAAGGCAGAAGCCTTATCCAAAAGGTAAGCTAGGGAGCGCTGATGAGGAGACTGGCAATCCTATCCACAGGAGAGGACCACAGATGCTTCAATCCAGTCAGGGTTCATGGGACATGGACTGATGGAATTAGTGAGGCAGCAGAGAAGTCGATTTCCTATTGTGCAGGACTGAGCTGCACAGGGGCCCAACATCAGGAAACATAAGTCAGGGAGCCTAGAGTCAACCAGGCACAGCCACAGGACTAGGACAGCTGTGGGAGGTAATGTGGATGGGGAGGGCTAGATGATTTGCAGAAAAGTTCAGATGGCAGCAGACTCATATTAGTCAGTGTTGGGGAGCTGGGAGCAGAATCCTTCCCCTGATAATTTTGGAGCCAGATACTCGATGTCTAGGTCAGAAGCAAACCACTTTAATACTTTTTTTATTTTGCTCCTGCATTACTTATTAATTTATTTTGTTTTTGTGTGTGTGCTGTATGCACGGTATACGATGTGTATTTGTGTGTGTGTGTGCACTCATCTGTGCATGTCAATGTGGAGATAAAAGGTCAACAATAGGTGTGATGGGTTGACTCAGAATGACCCCCGTAAGATCATACACTTGAGTGCTTAGTCATCAAGGAGTAAAACTCTTTTATAGGATTAGAGGGGTTAGGAGGCATGGTCTTGTTGGAGAAGTATGTCACTGGGGGTGGGCTTTGAGGTTTCAAGTCTCTCTCTCTGCCTCTCTACCTGCGGGTCAAGATGTACCTTTCAGCTACTACTCCAGTACCTGCCTGCCTTCTTACATGTTCCCTGCCATGATGGTAATGGACTAAGCCTCTGAAACTATAAGCCACCACCTCAATGAAATGCTTCCTTTTTAAGAGTTGCCTTAGTCACAGTCTCTTCACAGCAACAGAAAAGTACTAAGACATCAGGTATCTTCCTTTATTGATTTCCTTATTGATTGATTACCTTACTTTTTTTGACACAGGATTTCTCCCTGATTCTAAAGCTTGAAAATTGTCCTTTGAATTATACACACACATACATACTAAATTAAGAAACAGATGTAATAAAAAGTACACACACACACACACACACACACACACACACACATGACTTGAAAGCAGAAATGGGACTATTTGGGTAGAGGAAGGTGTCTAGTGAATAGAGGCATCAATATTAGCCAATTATAGTGATACATACATATATGCATAAATAAAATGTCATAATGAAACTCTAATTACTTAGTATGCCAACAAAGATTAATAAAAGAAATTAGTATATAAATTATAAAATTATGATGATATTAGGTCAAAATAATGAAGCCACATATAAAGAGATGGAAACGGAGCAGTGAAGATGGTCAGGAAATTCCACAAGCTTGCAGAGCAGGAATGAGCTCTCCTACAGGTTTCAAAAGTGTCTGCTCTGGACTTACGCTTTCAGATCTTTGAAGTGTACATTTTTGCTGCATTTTGAGCTACCTGCTTAGAAGTATTTTGTGATATTTGCCCTGGCAGATGAATACAGTTCACTTCAGAATGTAGAAAGAAGGAAAAAAAGATAGTTTTTTTTTTCTTTTTTTAATTCTAATGTACCTTTCTGAAGGATGGCTCATTTCTGGATTGACCCATTCTATGAGGGTATAAATGAGGGTTATTTTTGTTCTTGTTTAGAATGGCTCTATTTATATAAAATGCCCAGAATAGGCCAAGCTCATCTAATAGGAAGTAGATCAGTGTCTGACTAAGGCTGGGGTAGGATGAAAGGACAAGAGAAAACAGATTGTGGCTTTTAATGGATACATAGTTTAAGGCTGATGGAACCTGATATTGTAATAATGCTTGTACAACCTGTGACTATACCAAAGCAAATGCACAAACAAAACTCTGCATTGTATACACTAATTGGGTGAATTATAAAGAATGTAGATTATAACTCAAGAAAACTATTTTCCAGGAGCTGGAGAGATGCTTCAGCTGTTAGAGAGTACTTGCTGCTCTTGCAGAGGACCTGGGTTTGGTTCCCAGCACCTACACAGTGTCTCACAACAATCTGTAACTCTAGTTCTAGGGAAATCTCACATCCTTTTCTGGCCTCTCTCGATACCAGGCAAACAGATGCTAAGCATACATAAATGCTCTCATTCATACATATAAAAATAATAAATCTTTTAAAAAAAGGAACCTGTTTTTTAAAAAGGCTAACGCCTAACTAGTTAACCATACTTTGCCATGAAAGAAAAAGTTGTTTTCACTTTGTAATTACATTATAATCTATTCTACTTAGTTGGTACAAAATCTACCTATGAGTTATTTATTTACTTTAGGCTTGTATTTAAATTTCACAAGTACAGTGAAAGCTTATGCTTTTGTATACAAATGTTTATATTTGTTGGTTCAATTCAGGGCAATTCTGAAGAGTCAAAATGATCTAAGCTAAATTAGAGATGGAGCTGGTAGATTATTAGGTTTGAGTATGTCAGACATGACTTACAAGCTATGATTCATACAGGTTCAAATGATGAAGTGGGAAAGAAAACTATCTGAGTTTCCCTGGGGAATTGATGCCTTCTGCTTACCTTTGGGATCTCTCAGATATTGAGAAGCAGTGTAACCTGCCTTTCTGGACTACTGCAGGGTACCTGGAATGTAGGGTATTTGGCTATGCTTATGTTGAAGTTCCTATTATATAAATCCAAAGTATAAAAGAACTGTTAGCTTTGCAACTCATGACTGTATTAGTTGCTGTTTTCATGGCTGTGAGCAGAAAATGAGGTTAAATTCTGCAGACTAAACAGAAATTCGGGGCTAACTTTGTAGTCACGAGCACGTTAGCCCAGACTAAGGTGGGACTTCTCTGGATCAGTGAGACTGAATCAAAGGTGAAACCACTGCAGCTGCGGATGTGGCCCAGTGGCAGAGCTCTTGCTTGGGGAGCATTTAAGGCCTTGGTTTTGATCTTCAGCCCACAAAGTAAATAACACAGGAGAAATGGCTACATGCTCTACAGTGTTTATTCCTCTACATCAAGAGAATGTTTTTTTCGAAATGTGTATAGTGTGATATATGCATGTTTGTGTGTGGGAGTGTGTGTGCACATGTGGAGGCCAAAGGTTTGTGTAGAGTGTCTTCTTCTATCAGTCTCTGCCTAAGGTTTTGAAACAGGGTCTGACTAAACCTGGAACTCACTGATTTGTTAAGACTGGCAGGCCAGCAAGACCCCAGGATCCTCCTGTCTGTCTTGTCAGTGCTAAGATTGTAGGCACTGGCCACCATCCCCCCCCCCCCCCCCCCCACTTCATGGCTCATTTTTATGTGGGTGTCCTTGTGGGATCTGAACTTGGGTCCTCATGCTTGCACGGCAAACACTGCACTAACTGAACCATCTGTCTTCCCAGCCCCAGGTTGTTTCTTTTTGTCCTTTTTCCACTTCAAATGCTACATGGCAAAGAGATGCCATGCATTCTTTTTTTAAGTATTAAAGAAATGTATTTATTTAAAACATTCATTTGTCAGGTTTGGTGACACACACCTATAATCCCAGGACTTGGGAGGCAGAGGCAGAGGGACCTCTGGTTTATAGAGTAGGACTGAAGGGACACTAGCCCACTAGAGCATGTGGGGCTCTGGCAGGCCTTGCCCTTTTCCCCCATTCCCTCTGCCTTGCTAAAAACCATTAGATTACATTCCTGAAGCTAGCCACCAAGGTCTATTCCCTTATTTGGCCCTTATTTCCTCCTCCTGAGGATGACTACCAAGTCCAGCGATCAGAAGCTCCCTTTGGCTCTCCTAATTAACATACCCAATTAAAACGAAATACCTCATCCTAACACGGGGTTTCCCCTTTCCCCTTTATAAACCGCCATTTGCCTGTGTGCCACGTTGGTCTCCCCTCTATCCAGAGGCAGTCCTTTGTCCCTCCAGGACAAATATCCCTGCCCCTTTCTCTTGTCCCCTTCCCCTTCTCCCTTCTCTATCTCCTTTACCACCGCATCCTAGCCCATTCTAACACAGACCTCCCCACTTCTTCCTCTTAAAATTACACCTGCAAGGTCATTTGCTGCTCTTTTCTGTCTGAGTCAGAAAGCAGCCACTTTAACTTTTCTTCCCTGCTTAATAAAGGATCTCTCTGTGAAAACAGGTGTTTGGGTGTGTTTTGTGCCTAATCTGGAAGGAAGCCCCCTGCTGTGTGGGAGTCCCCTTCAACAACAACAAAAAGAAAGAGACATATGCCACTGTATGGATGTCCGAGGACGACTTCTGGGAGTAGAGAAACCATGTGGGTTCCAGGGATTGAACACAGATCATCAAGGAAATTTAAAACAATGTCACATAAAAGGATAATGTAGCCATGGGTAAAAATTTGAAGCCTAAGACACAATGTATACCTTACCGTGGGCTGTACCCAGTAAAAGCTCAGGTGCCAGGTAATCTGGAGTTCCTAGAATTCGTCCGTCATCTGCTGGGGCTGCCCCTCTTCTTACACTCTTTGGAGTTCTGTATGATGTTCCCAACTTGACCTGATTTCCTGGAGTCTGCTAATTCAAGAAGAGTTCAAGACACAACAAATAAATTTCTTTTAGATGACCAAAAGCATTGAAACAACAACAACATAAAGCCTCTAGGTATAAAAGATGCATCCAAATCCTTGATCAGGGATTTGAAATATACTCATACTAGTTATAAGGTCCTATGTATAATAAAGTTCAATAGCTCAGATAACATCAATTATTTCAATAAGAAATGACTATAAAAGAAAAATATTTAAAAAAGACCCAAGAACAAAATTTTCTTTTCTTTTGAGATAGTTTTACTATATAGCCCACACTGACCTCAAACTCATGATCCCCCTGCCTTAGCCTCCCAAGAGTTAAGATCACAGTTTTACAACAAGGCATTCTGTCTTAAGAAAAGTATCTTCACAGCCTGGATTGATACAAAGAATAAGAAAAGCCATGGCTGACAAATGGTTGACTTATTAAGACAACATGTAAGATAAAATAAGTCTATCATCTCTTGTATTAAGTGGTACTTAAAGGGTTTTAAGGTAATTGTTGCTTAACAACAACCTCTTGAAACAAGTATGAGTGGCTTTTATTACAAGCAGTTGGAAAACAGGGTTTGAGTTTAAGGGACATCTAAGCCCTTAAAGGAAAGCATAAATCTTATAACCTAAATTTGAAGCTTAATCTCTTTATAATGCCCCTTTAAAGGAATAAAAGAAATGGAATTTTTGGTTTATACAAGTATAGAAATTAAAGACAAATAATTTAAATATATATGCTGTTGGAGGATTGTAGCTGGAGTTTTCCTGCCTGGCCCACAGTCAGGACAAATCTCTCTCACCTGCCAGTCCCAAAGCCGCTCAGACCCGACCAAGTAAACACAGAGACTTATACTGGTTACAAACTGTATGGCCGTGGCAGGCTTCTTGCTAACTGTTCTTACAGCTTAAATTAATCCATTTCCATTAATCTATACCTTGCCACATGGCTCGTGGCTTACCGGCATCTTCACATGCTGTTTCTCATTGTGGCGGATGGCAGTGTCTCTCTGACTCAGCCTTCCACTTCCCAGCTTTATTCTCCTCCTTGTCCCGCCTACACTTCCTGCCTAGCCAATGGCCAATCAGTGTTTTATTTATTGACTAATTAGCAACACATTTGCCATACAGAACATCCCACAGCAGAGGATAAGATAGACTTCAATTTCATATTTCAAAGTACTATTAAGATCAGTGAAAATATGTATTTTCTTAGTTATATAACTGTTATATAGTTATATAACTGTTAAGAATAATACACATTACTATCAGCATTACATTTGTACATGAAAAATTTTCAACAATCTATAGGAGGACAAAACTGTATAATTCATATCATATAACCTACCCGAGAGGCAAGTGTGTGTCTTAGGTTATCACTCTAACATTCAAAGAATAAGGTGTTAACAAACTGTAATATACCTGATGTGACATACAGGATCTTCCTTTCTGAGTGGGGGTCACAGCCATGGGATATGAGCCACTGTAATCACAGGAGATGTCCATAGCATCTAAAGAAGTTATGCTCATCTTGGACGGTTCTGAATTATAGGATGCATTAATATGACTGTTAAAGCTTCGAAAAGCTACGGCATTTGTTTTGCAGGTTAGTGGTTTCAATGCTTTTGAAGAGGAAGCCAAGTTTTCTTGGCACTTTGGTAATACAAGTAGATCTTCAATATTTGATTCTTCAAAAGAGCATTCTTTGTTGCTTTTATCTGGTTCTGAGGCCTGAATTTCCAGTGAACTTTCCATCATAGAAATTCCAGGAAAAGATGAATCTGAATCCACGCAGACAGTTTTAGAAGCTCTATCCTCATCAGAACATACAAAATTAGAACTGCGTAGGCAGTCCTTTTTACTGGTCATTTCACAATCTTCATCTAGTTCAGACATAAGGTTTTTTGCTATCATTGGTATATGTAATTTTTCTGGGGTTTGTTTATCAGTAAAATAGGGGACAATGTTCTCCTTATTAGCAGAGTCATTCTGCTGACTTCTGTATGCTGATAGCCTAAGATTCTGGACTTCAGCTGTTATGCCTGTATTTTGATTTACATAGCAACCTATTACTTCCTTACCTTGCTTACACTCTATACAGTTTTTTTTACTTTGTATAATTTCCTGACAAGGACTAGAGTCAACCAATTGAAAACTTCTTTTAAAATTTCTTTTACCAAGGTGTTCTTCAGACATGTCACTAGACTTTATAGCCCACTGATTGGCCTGAGGGAAACCAGACTGTCTCATGTCAATGATCATGTTCTCATCATTTATATCCAGTTCTCTCGCTTCACAAGAGATTTCCTCGGAGAAGCATTTTCTAGGGAGGTTCAAATGGTGGCTTCCAGTGGCAGGAATGGCACTACTGTCATGAATGGGAGAAAGCGCTAATTCAAGATCTGTTTTTGTCTCAGTAGCATCTGTAGATTTTGCATAAAGCATTTCAACTGCATTCCAGCTCATCATTGTACAGCCAGAAGACTTGGTACTTTCCTAAAAGGAGGAAAAGGCTATTTTTAGTTATAAACCTTAGATTCTTTAAAAGCTTCTAATCTATGATCACTTACATGAGATAAGTAATCCAATGAACTATTATGCTGTCGTTTTTGCTTTTAAGTGAAGCAGAAGAATTATGATAATAGAGAACTAAAAACAATTATTGTATAAGCTTACAATACTACACTACTTATAATGACATTGTTTTGAATGAAACATTGGTCAAAACTTAAATAAATTATGTCCTGATACTTATTTGGATACCATATACATATTAAACAAGAAAAATTAATAGAATATATTTAGACAAATTTAAGGGTAGGGCTATATTATAAATACATTGTCTATTTTGCAATAGAAGTATGGTGATTCTGTTTAAAATTGCAAAATGCAAGAGCTTAAAACCTAGTTACTGAAAAGTTAGAGGCCAAAAATAATTACTGTAAACATGTATCACTATATAAACAAATAGTTTAAAGTACATCAATCTATTTAGCTAACAATTGCCCTGGAATAGACACTTTTAAGGACACATCCCTATTAACTATATGGTCTAAAAGTTATTTCTGAAGAGTTTCCATTCCATTAAATGAGAAATTGGTGAGAAACAGTACAGGAGACATTATGAGCTTTAAACTTACATAGGTAAACAACAAACACAATTATCCATGTCTTTATCACAGAAAGAAATTAAAAAGTCTTCCAGGAAGCCAACCATTTTCTATCCGTTTACTGCAATACTTACTCACTCATTATACATTAAGAAGACTAATATCACAACTGAATGAGAAATAAAATAAAGATATTAAAAGAATTTGACAGAATATCCAGAAAAATGAAGAGTTTTTATAATATTTCAACTGTACCCACGCAACAATGCAATTTCCTTATAGGTTTTTTATGGAAAGGCATGGGGTTGCTATCATGGGTTTCCTGTGTCTAGCTTCGGCTTACATAGACTTCCTCCTAACCTGGCAGTCTTTTTCCCATTTGGGACTGCTGTGGCATTCTGATTCCACACTGGATGCGACGGTATGAGACTGAGTGCTAGTACTTGATGTGCCCAGCCTCTTCCTGCACTGGAGTAGGTTAGAAGTCAGGCATTTCACAGGTAGTTCTAGATTGGATGCAACTCTTTCAAGGCCTGTAGGGCAAAGAAAATACTTGTTTATTTTCACAGCTATTAGTTCTTTATGAAACCTGACTCTTTCCATGTAATTGTATTATATATTACATAGAATAACTATTCTTATTGGGGTGCATTATTGAGATATGCTATAAGGTTAGAATGTTACTAGATTTATTCAGCTCAGTATGTTTAATTAAAACTGTAGCAGTACTGGAGACGTTGAAATTTATAATGCTTATCAGTGTGAATTACAGAAAGCCATAGGCATCTGCTTTTTTTTGCACTGCTCAGGATTATACCCATGACCATGTATACATTAAAACAAACACTCTACCAAAGAGCTCCACACTTATACCTCCATAAGGGATTTTGTTACTATGATCTGATAAGCCACATGATAGGAAACTATTAGTGAGCACTGCAATAAGGCAGCATCTAAGGTATACTTGCTCCCTCATCCTACATAAACATGGTTAGATATGGTTGCTCCTTAGCTTGGTGTATGTGTGTGTTTGAGTTGGAGGCCAGAGATCAGCCTGGGGCAGTTTCTCAGGCACCACACATCATCCTTATCTTCATATGTATTTTCTGAATTTTAATTTATTTTTATTTCATATGTATAGGTGTTTTGCTTGCATGTCTGTCTGTGTACCATGTGTGTGCCTAGTACCCGTGGAGGTCAGTAAGAGTGTTAGATACCCTGGAACTGGACTTATAGGCAGTTGTGAGCTGCCATGTGGGTACTGGGATTGAAGCCAGATCCTCTGGAAAAGTAGCCAGTACCCTTAACTGCTGAGCCATCTATCCAGTTCCCACTTTGTTTTTTGAGATAAGGTCTCACAGGCCTAGAGTTAGCCAAGCAGGATAGGCTGGCTGGCTAGTCAGCCCAAGGGACTCTGTCTCTGTCTCCTTAGCTCTGGGATTACAAAAGTACACCATCATGCCTGGCTTTTTCGAGTGGTTTTGCAGACAGAATAAAGGTCCTCACTTTACTTTCAATTAGACACAAGTGTGGTGATATTTTGTTTGTGCTCTAACAAATAAAGCTTGCCTGGAGATCAGAGTACAGAGCAAGCCACTAGAGGCCAGGCAGTGATAGCATACACCTTTAATCCCAGCTCATGGGATCTCATGCCTTTGATCCCAATACTTGGAAGAGATGGGAAGTGATAAGGCAGGGTGGAGACTGGAGCTTGGCCCCTCTCATCTGAGGATTCCTAGAGGTAAGAAGTCTTTCTAGTGGCCGGCTGCTCTGCTTCTCTGATGTTTCAGCTTTCACTCTGATACCTGACTCCGGGTTATTATTAAGACTAACTAGAATTTGTGCTACACACAAGACGGTTGTGCTTTTACCAAATGATGTAAGCATCTAAAGATTTTATATGTCTATAAAAATGCACATTGTGGTGGCTTGAATGAGAATGGCCTGCATAGGCTCATGTTTGAATAGTTGGTCCCCAGCTGGTGGAACTGTTTGGGAAGGATTAGGTGTAGCCTTAAAGGAGGAGGTGTGTCACAGGGGTGGACTGAGGTTTCAAAAGACATTCCCAGTATGTTCTCGGCTTCTTGTTTGTGGATAAAGATGTGACCTCTCAACTGTTGCTCAAGCCACCTACCCCTGTGTGCTAGCTCTGCCCTCATGACCTCTAACCTCTAGAACTGGAAGCCCAGCTAAACTCTTAACCACTTTTGTTAACTTGCCTTGGCCATGGTGTTTTATCACAGCAAAAGAAAAGTAACTAAAAATATGTATCTTGTTTCCTTTCTTCAAAAGGATGAACATGACATTAAACTCCAGGAAATTAGAGTTTTATAACATAGTAAGCATTACATTTTACTACTAGGAAGGGAATTTCAAAGTCCATCTAATCCAACTTAATTTTTCATACACAAATCCTCTAGGTGGATCAGGTTGGCCTTCAACTCAGAGATCTACCTCCTTCTGGTGCTGTGATTAAAGGTGTGTGCCACTATACCCGGCATTTTCTTTTAAATGCAAAAAATACACTTACTTTGAAACCAGTGTGGTGACACAAACCTGTAACTTTAGTACTCAGGAGGCTGAGGCAAGAACACTGAAATGTAAAGGCCAATCTGGGCTATTAGCGCAATATTAGCCTGGACAACATATTGAGAACTTGTCTCAGAACACCAACAAAACAAATGAACAAAACACTAAAACAAGGAACAAGAAAACCTCAACCTCTATTTTGAGTTTTTAAACTTAAACTACCTCAAAACCTTTTGGAAATAAGGTTATAAAGACAAACACTTATCTTTTTCATATAAAATTTCCATAGACCCAAGTATAGCGAAATTTACCCAATCATTCCAATATTATAGGTAATTGAATATGCTTATTAGCAAGACAGTGTATTCTGTGGGATTTGTAAAATCTACTGTAATCATCATTTATGTAATAAAATATAGGAGTGCCACAGACATCTGAATATTGGCTTTTTTAAATTATTAAATTGCTACTAGGAATTTAAAATTTTGAGATATTTTTGTTCTTTAAACCACATACTTAGTGGAATAAAACTCTTTTATACTTACGTGATTTTAGTAGTCCACTAGAGTGAGAAGTAGGCTCCTTCTGATCTATGGACATAGGGCAAATTAATCCTTGAGAAAGTTGTGCCTCAGACTTAGGGGCTGAAAACATGGTTGTAGAGTCTTGATCTTTTTCCCCAACTGGTGTGAACTATTAAAAAGAGAAATTATTTGGGGTCAGTGAGATGGTCAAGGGTAAAGGCACCTCCCACCTGATGACATGACTTCAATCCCTGGGTCTCCCATATGGTGGAAGGAGAGAACTGACTTCTCTAAGTTGTCCTCTGCTTCCATTTGCGCACTATGGTGACACACCCACACCTACATGTGACAAAAATGTTCTAAAAAGAAAAAACATTAAAAGCAAAAATTAAAACCCAATACTAAGAGATTCATCTTCAGATGGATATAGAAAATAGATATAGAAAACCTGAGTACAAATTGCCAAAAGTAATGCCATCTCATGTTTGATATTTACATCTATATTATTTTTATTTCAAAGCAGGTTAAAATTTTAAGTGGTAATGATGAAAAAGTTTTCCTTATTAAGTACTTACAAATCCCAAAGAACTGATGAGAGATAAGACTTGTCCTGGGGTTCGTGAATAATCTTGCTTAGGTTTAGCCATTGATGGTGTTGTAAGAATATCCATCATATTGATATCTATATATGCAAAAGAAGATAGATATATGAATATATCTAAAACCATTGCTTATCATTGACTATATCAATAATTACATGTTCTGAACTTTGCCTCTCTCTTTTTTTCCCCTTTTTTCTTTTTTGGTTTTCTGAGACAGGGTTTCTCTGTAGCTCTGGCTGTCCTGAAACTCACTGTGTAGACCAGACTGGCCTCAAACTCACAGAGATCCACCTGCCTTTGCATCCTGTGTGCTGGGATTAAGGGCGTGCACCACCACCACCACCAGCCTTTGCCTCTCTTTCTACATTATGAACTTTACCTACAAAACTGGCTGGTGTAGGATACATATATGCAGAGAACTTTCTGAACTGCAGAGGCAATGTTTACAACTAATTAACTAATTGAAATCATTAAATTTTGAGAGGTAGAGATATAGCTCAGTGGTAGAGTGTCTTGCCCAGCAGAGCATGCACAAGGCACTGGGTTCTAGCCTCAGTACTGGGGAAAAAAAAAGTTTTCTATAACAGTCTTGTAGAATAGGTAGAATACAGCAAAATAACCCAGAATGCTACCAGCTTTCTAAGAAACACTCGGTCACTAATTATCAGTTATTTCAATACAAGTAATGGCCACTACTGTTGGCTATTCATCAAAATGAGATTGTAAGACCTTATTGCTGAGAGCACCCACACTCCCTCTTTGTATGATATAAACTACAATGAAACTGAGCTAAGAGCTTCCTCCCTGCTGGCTAGCCCTCACAGTACCAGAGGGTGCTGGGGGCTGCTGAGGGAGAATTATCATTAACATTTTTATCCAGCTGCAGATGCTGTATAATACTGCTGCCAAACTAGGACAGACAGGTCCACTGGTGCAGTAGTGGCAAGCATGTTCTAGGGTAACTCACCATTCTCTGAGTGATTGAAGTCCTGCTTCGAGGGAGAAAATCCTTGTTGATACTCTAAACTCAGGCAAAAGTCCATGTGTGGAAATGTCATAGATCCTGGGAAAGGGAAGTCCCTACTGCTCTAATTTTGATGAAAGATGTACCTATCAAATTGCCTTCAAAATAATTATGTTCATATCCATAGATCATTGTTGCTGTCGGCTCTGGCTTCAGCAGTTTATTTTTGTAGTGGGCTCAGTAATTACAGATGCTCATACCTGATCAAAGTGATGAGAATAGGTGACTACTGAATGCCCAGCATGACAAGACCATTTCTGTCACATATCCTGCCTCCAAGGTGCAGGGTACATCACAGAAGAGGCGGGAAGCATGCGAGAGCTGGAAAGTGGGGTGAGATGGGTGTGGAATGTTGACTTATAGGAGTGACTGTAGTATTACTGAATTCAAGCCAACTGTGATCACCCAATCAAGACCCACATAAGACTGGGCCCACCAACATCATGACATGGGGTGGGGAGGGGTTAGCAAGGTCTTCCCTTCCTGAGGATCCATATGCAGCTAATGGTTTCTAGGAGAGGGAGACACATTTTCTTCAGGGATGTAGCCACTGGGAAGGTCTCACACTCCTGTAAACAACTCTACTGTAACTAACTGGGCATTTAAGAAAACACAAAAGACATGAAAGCATTAGAGGGACTAATTTAGGTAGAGGAAGGGGATCTGTGGAAGTAGGATGACAGGGTAATGGATGTGTGTGAATATGATCAAAATACATTATAAACATGCATGAAAAAAATCACTGTTATCTGTTAGACCTAAAAATTATAAGCTCTGAAATTAGGCAAGATAATTTTTGTTATAAATAAAATACTGGGGGGAAAAAAAAGGAAATAAGGAGTTAATTCAATTATGGTCCCTTTAATATCAACTCATGTTAAACTTAGGTCAAGAGAAAATTTATTGACTTTATTAATATGTATAAGTTTTTACTTAGATAAAAAAAGTAAGAGAAGTCTATTCTCTATATCAATTCTGTTCTATATAAAAGTCTTTAAGAAGTCAATTTAACCTGCAACCCATGCTCTTGGGAGGTTGACACAGTAAGATTGCTATGAGTTCAAGGCCAAAGGAAGGCCTTGTCTTAAAACATTATACTTCAAGTCTGGATATACCGATTTCATTTGTCTAACACTGATGAAGCAGTAAAACAAAAGTAATAATAATCTTTTAGGCCTTACTTTATGGGCCAAATGATTTAAACTTACAAGTATTACCATCCTTATACAGTTATCTACTAACTAATTAGGAGTTTGGTTTGTTTCACAATTTAAAAATGTTTAGATTATAAGAAAGCTACTATGGTGAACATATATTGTAAAACATCCCTAATTGAATCTCACATAGAATCTACAATCAAATATTAGTTCTGAGGCAAGATGTGTGAAAAATCACATGAAGTGGGATTAAGAAGACTGCATCAGTTAATACTTTTAGCTAATTTAGGAATAACTGTAGACCTGTAGTATTTTCAAATACTTGCAATTTCAAAGTTTACAATTTTTAATTCAATTTTATACTACTCTTCATTAAACAAACCTTTTGAAAAAGCTGCGTGTAGTAGCACATGCCTGTTTCCCAATGCTCAGGAGGCAGAGGCAGAGACAGGACTGTCCCAAGTTCAAGGCCAGCCCGGTCTATATAGTGAATCCCAGGCTAGTCAGGGCTATAGAACAAGAACATGCCTCAAAATCCAAAAACAAGGGCCAGTGAGATGGCTCAATGGGTAAGGGTGTTCACTCCCCAAGCCTGGTGACCTGAGTTTGATCCCTGGAATCTAAGTAAAAGTGGAAGGACAGAACCACTCCACAAAGTTGTCTTCTGACCTCCACACATGCCATGTATGCCTCCACCCCATATCATGTACATATACACAATAATAATAATAATAATAATAATAATAATAATAATAATAATAAATCCAAAAGCAAAACAAAAAAATTCTGCCTTTCCACCCAGTCCTTTGGGTGTGTGTATCTGTGTTGTTGGAGGCAATCTAGGGTCCTGCATATGCTAAGCAAGGACCCTGCCTACAGCCACTTGTAGCGCTCTCTCTGGCACAGCTTTCATTTGTGTGTGTGCGCGCGCGTGCGTGTGCAGTTTAAAGCCTTCAGGTTAGCGCACAAAGGCCTGGATGTCATCACAGCATCTTCGTACACTGTGTTGTTACACGCTGTTCTTCCTTCCCCTCCCCAGCATCACTTTCACATCTTCTCATCTCCTCTCTTTCTCATCTATACTACTTTTTAAAAAGATTTATTTTTATTATGTGTACATGGGTGTGTGTGTGTGTGTATGCAAGCCCAAATGTACATGTTTGCCTGTGTAGGCCAGAAGAGGGCATTACAAACTGAGTTGGATTACAAACTGTCGTGAGCCATCTGAAGCCTGTGCTTGGAACTGCAGCAAGTGCTCTTAACTGCTGAACCATCTTGGCAGCCTGGAGGGGACCAGCCCCCACACTTACCTCAGCTACTCTTGAGGATGGAGGGATAAGAGACTTACTTAGAAATAGAGGCGAGAGAAACAGAGAGAAAACACAGGATAGACCCGGGTGGGCCTGGATCCTTATCCACCGGCCCAGAACTTTATTCCAAAGGTCTATTTATAGCAATGCCAAGGGGTGGAGCAAAAGACCCCCCCCCCTTGCTAGTTAAACCCTTACAAACACCTGGTACCCAGGCCTGTGGTCCAATCAATCTCTTAGGCAGTCCTGCTGGGTACAGCCACTAGGAAACCTAATGGACTCCAACAGGTCCCTCTTCTTTATATTTTAAAAGAAAAAATTCTTAATGCAACTGCATCAAACTTAAAGACTAACAGGTTAACATAATTCTAATATAAATATTGCTATGCATAGTTACAATTTTCTCAATCTTACATCTTAAAGCAAACTCTTAATATTTCTTGCTAACAAAACATAGGATAAACTTCTAATGTATACATCTTAAACTTAAATACTTTCTTAACTTCACAAAACCACGGTGCATCAATATCAATAGGTTAACATAATTTCTACAAGCCTACTCTCAACCTGCAAATCTACTCTCAACCTACAAGCCTACTCTCAACCTACAATATAGAACTATACAAAACATAACATTAATTCACTCAAGTAACATGAAAATATTTTTTAAATTAAATCTACTGAGGAATATTAACATTCCCCCTTTCTTTAAAAAAAAAAAACAAACTTCTCTATTTAAACAGTTAATTTTTACATAAACAGTTCCACAAACAGTTCATAAGTCATCATTGTTGATAGAGTCTATATGCATAAGTAAATTCAAACTGTCCCATTGTAATGAAATCATTACTGTCCATTTTATTTTTTAAGTTCAAAAGTTCAAAAAGAGTTCTGGTACCATTCCTAAAAGTTTCTTCGAGCGCTCATAGTCAGGGCCTGCCCTTAAGTCTGTGTATAGGTGTCAGAATCGTAATGACTCTGAAGCAAACAGTTCCAAATAAAAGTACCACAACCAAACTTTTCAGTTCAAGCAAGTCTCTCTGAAACCTCCGATTTCAGCAACTGCTGTGCTTTGCAGTCTGTAGCCTGTTGTGGGATGGTCTGTATGTCAAATTGCTCTGATTGGTCAATAAATAATAAATAAAACACTGATTGGCCAGAGGCCAGGCAGGAAGTAAAGGCGGGACTAACAGAGAGGAGAACAGAGAAAACAGGAAGGCGGAGGGAGTCACTGCAGCCACCACCATGACAAGCAGCATGTGAAGACGCCGGAAAGCCACAAGCCACGTGGCAAGGTATAGATTTATGGAAATGGATTCATTTAAGCTATAAGAACAGTTAGCAAGAAGCCTGCCACGGCCATACAGTTTGTAAATAATATAAGCGTCTGTGTGTTTATATTATAAGTGGGCTGTCGGACTGCCGGGGCTTGGTGGGAGCTGGAGAGAAATTCTCCAGCCACAGTAGCCTTCCAGAACCAGTTCCAGACCAGGCTAGAGAGCTTCACCTCACAGCCACATGGGCTCAAGGCTCCTTCAGCTGCCGTGAGCTGAAACTGTGGCCTTCTCATGGCAACCCTGGCTTTGGGACGAAAACCATTACCTGTACTGCTGACAGTTCAAGTGCTCAGCAAACCTGGTCTGGAATCCTCCGTAGCAGTCACCAGTTTTGGTTTGGCTGTTCAGTCTGGAGCACTCAGCAGTTCCCGAGTGTCTCTGCTGTTCACCTTTCCAGAGGCGACGAAAACCACAGGGCTCTCTCTCTTTTTCGAGGTGTAGCATCTCAAAGGTTGCAGAATCTTGCTGCTCACCTTTCCTGCAGTGTGGCATCTCTGCAGGGCTTTCCAAACTGCTGCTTGTCATTGGCCTCTCTGTGGCTTAGCTTGCTCAGTTTTCACCGTGGCTTCCTTTCGGTAGAAAGCTTGTAGACCCTCATGCATCTGCCACCTGCCTGGCATTAATGCCTTGAGGGTTTCAGCTTCCGAGATCCTCTGGCTGCTATTTCTGAAGCTGGCAGTCTCTGGAACTGTTTCTTGTTGTTACTGGTGGCTTTCTGGAACTGCCAAGTCCACAGTCCGCCATGGACATTGCTCTCCGAGTCCCAGGTTGGGAAAACCTACTCTAAATTACTTTTTCCACCATATCTTTAACCTAAGGCCTGTATATTCTAAACCTACATTTCTCTGACTCACTTTATATTAAATCTATGACCTATTTAAACCTACATTCTATCATTCAAGCCTACATGATAAACTTACGTTCTATAGGACTACTCTAGCACTTTTTTAAACATCTAACTTAGCAAACACCTAAAAGAAATATACTACTTCTTACTCTTAACTAACTTACACTAGGAGCAAACTCTCTATAGGGCTACCCTAAACCTCTATTTATAAACCTTACCTAAGTCTCACTTAAGACTACACCTTACCTAAGTCTTAGTTACATTCAATAGGTCCTGCACTATATTGCTATACTCTACCTTCCTTATTTTTTTAATAGATACAAGAGAAAGAGAGGGAGAAAGAGAGATCCTAATGCTGCAGTTTTGCAATATTTCTTTCCTTCACCATCTAGCCTATAAACTCGAGAATAAAATACCATTGCCTTCATTTATCAATTCCTTATCGGCATGTCTACACTCATAATGCCCCCTACAATTCTTTCGCTAAGCCCTAGGGATTTTTTTTTATCTCTTTCAGGCGCCACCTGTGGGGGACCAGTCCCCACACTTATTTACCCCAGCTACTCTTGAGGATGGAGGGATAAGAGACTTACTTAGAAATAGGGAGGAGAGAAACAGAGAGAAAACACAGATAGACTCGGGTGGGCCTGGATCCTTATCCACCAGCCCAGAACTTTATTCCAAAGGTCTGTTTATAACAATGCCAAGGGATGGAGCAAAAGACCTCCCCCTTGCTAGTTAGACCCTTACAAACACCTGGTACCCAGGCCTGTGGTCCAACCAACCTCTTATGCAGTCCTGCTGGGTATAGCCACTAGGAAACCTAGTGGGCTCCAACACCAGCCCCTCTTCTATACTTTTTAATAGAAAATCCATTCTTCCAAGATGATAATTTATCATCTTTCCATGATTCTATGATGAACTTAAGTAATGTCTTGCTTCAATTTATTATACAATGGTACTGCAAATCATTTTAGTCACTTATATTTTGTTCTCTAGACCCACTGCCTTAGAATAAATTCTAAAACGTAAGATCAACTGTTCTGGGAATTTTGTCACCAGGCCGCTGGCCAATTGAGAGGAGCGTTTTGGTCCAAGAGGTGGGGTTTTCATTGGGGATGGATGTGACCAAGGGAGAGGCAGTCTTTTTGAGCAAGGAGCAATGACAGCGGGTATAAGCGGTGGCTTGTGACTTGGTTCAGGTTCCCTTTTTGTTCTTTAATATTTGTGCATGGAATGTAGCTTAGTGTCAGAATACTTGCTTAGCATGTAAGAGGCCTGAGTTCAGTCTCTAGTATTGAGAAACCAAAACATCAAAACCAGATATAGTGGCATATGTCTATAATCCCAGCACTTGTGTGGTGTAGTAAGAGTTCATGGTTATTTTTGGCTACATAACAACTTTGAGGTCAACCTAGGCTGTATAAACCCCGTGTTACTATACCTTCTCCTAAAAAAACTCCACATAAAAACAAAGAGAATTAAAATCTTTTGTTTTCTTAAAACATAGAAAATTTTTCTTTTGAAAGCACTAAGTCAATGTATAATCACTTTAGAAAAACTGTGCTTTTTTTGTAGTTTTGTTTATGGATCAGTATTCCTTTGTGGTAGTAATAATGTAAAGGGTTAATTTGTTGTTTTTCATATTAGCATTTTAAAAATTATTACTCAGAAATGAACTTATTTCTATATATATGAATGAACCGTATCTACCAAGGTCTTGGTAGTGGCAAGATGTATTTGCATAAGTATTTTAAGAATCAGCACTGGATCATATTACAGTTTAGTCATTTTGTTTAGGCATAATTGTTCATACTGTTTCAGCAAAGGTAAAGAGAACAGTAACTGCCAGTTCCATTTTAAAGATCTAAGGAGTTTTAAGGACCTTCGAAGATCCAAGAATGATTATTTTCTTTGTTTTTTTCTTCTTTTCTTGGTGCTAGGATTGGATCCAGTCAAGCAAACGTTCTGCCACAGACCCCAAAGTGCCCCACCCCCCCGCTTTTTCAAGGCCCCTTTTGGTGGGGGAAAAGAACAACATTACTCATTTCTAGCCCATCTCAGAAGAGCTATCGAATTTTATCTAATGTAAATTAACAACAAAAAAAGTTAAATTAATGAAATAGAATGTCTGAAGTTGGCACTTACCTGCCATTATTCTTACCTCTATTCAGAGTAACTTTGGAAAGCCCAAAATCTGTCAGCTTAATATGACCCTCATTGGAAATAAGCATATTGTCCGGTTTCAAATCCCTGAACATATAAAAGGCAAACAGATACTGAAAAAGTAGTTTTGATGTTAAATACCAGATGGGGTGGGAGAAATTACAAGAGGAAACCTAATTATTTCCTTTAAAATAGAAGACCCATGAGTGGTTCAGTAAAGTCCACAAAACAGCTCTCAAGACCATCTATTACATATCAGAATCTATTAAAAAAATTGTATGATTCAATACTAGAGTCTGTTTGGCATTATTTTTAGATATCTTATCCACCAGCCCGCCAGTTCAAATTTATATCCACCCCTTTAAAGTAAGGTATGGTTAAGTTTTAACAGAGCAGAGCCACTAAGCCTTTCTCTGAACAAAGAAGGACGTGCGCATCAGCTGAGACCACAAAGTCTCTTTTGTATGATGGTATGCAAGTGGAAAGAGATGAATAATCTTCATATTAAAATGTCATGTTTGGCCGGGCGGTGGTGGCGCACGCCTTTAATCCCAGCACTCGGGAGGCAGAGCCAGGCGGATCTCTGTGAGTTCGAGGCCAGCCTGGGCTACCAAGTGAGTTCCAGGAAAGGCGCAAAGCTACACAGAGAAACCCTGTCTCGAAAAACCAAAAACAAATAAATAAATAAATAAAAATAAAATGTCATATTTATGTTCAAAGCAACATTTAACAAAATGCAGGGAGATTAAACAAAAGCCAATGTGTGGTGATATTTTGTTTGTGATCTAACAAACTTTGCTTAAAGATCAGAGTTCACAGCTAATCCACTAGTTAGCCATAGAGGCCAGGCAGCAGTGGCACACACCTTTAATCCCAGCACTCGGGAGGCAGAGGCAGATGGATCTCTCTAAGTTCAAGGCCACCCTGGGCTACACAAGATTGATCCAGTCTAGAGGAACAGAACCTGGCAGTGGTGGCACACACCTGTAATCCCAGCACTAGGAGGTGGAGACGGGAAGTGACATGGCTGGGCGAAGAAGGGATAGAAGGCGGAGGAGACAGGAGCTCAGTTCCCCTTCAGGCTGAGGACTCAGGAGAGGTAAGAAGTCTCTCTAGCGGCTGGCTCCACTACTGATCTTTCAGCATTTACCCCGATATCTGGCTCTGGGTTTTTATTATTAAGACCAATTAGGACTCGTGCTACACCAACACTCTATTTAAATGCATATAACAACTGAGCTGTAGGTAAAGTAGAAATACAAGCAAGTAGTTTCTGCTTATATTAAAGATTCAAACACAATACATTTTAAGTAACAATGTACAGAAAAGTCAGTTTTACCTGTGGATGATTCCATGTCTATGCAGGTAGTCTAAAGCCAATGCTACTTCAGAAATATATTTTATAGCCATCTCTTCATCAAAATAACCATATATATGTAGGAGAGACTTGACATCTCCACCAATAAGATATTCCATTACCTATCAAAAAAGAATTTAAAAACAATATACTTGAAATATATAATATTTGGGGAATTAGTTTTATTTTTTAGAATGGTTACACAATAAAACATATTTTTTTGTTATCACTCATTGTCCTGAACTTATCATTTTTCTGCCTCAGCTTTCTAAGTACTGGGATGATAGGCATGCATCACCAGTCCTGGCTTCTCATTATTTTTCTGGTTAAAAACTGAACTGGTCAGTTTGAACAAACACCAGAATTACATAAAAGTTCAAAGACTATTAGAATTACTTCCCATTTGCCAACATCTCAGTCACAAATTTTTAGCATGCGGACAGATTTGGTTTCTTCTTCTCCTCTACATAGATATTTTAACGTTAATATTACAAATTGTGCTGGCTAGTTTTTATGTTAACTTGACATAAGCTAGAGTTATCTGACAGGAGTGACCTCATTTGAGAAAATGCTTCCATAAGACTGAGCTGTAGCTGGGCAGTGGTGGTGCATACCTTTAATCCCAGCACTCGGGAGGCAGAGGCAGGTGGATCTCTGTGAGTTCATGGCCAGCCTGTTCTACAGAGCGAGGTCCAGGACAGGCATCAAAGCTACAGAGAAACCCTGTCTCAACCAACCAACCAACCAACCAACAAATAAATAAGAAATATTAAAACAAACAAACAAACAAACAAAAAACTGTAGGCAAGCCTGTAGGGCATTTTCTTAATTAGTGATTGATGATTGATGTAGAAGAACACAGTCCATTGTGGGTGGTACCACCTCTGGGTTGGTGGTCTTGGCTGCTATAAGAAAGCAGGCTGAGCAAGCTGATGAGGAACAAGGCAGCAAGCAGCATTCCTCCACAGCCTCTGCATGAGCTCCTATCTCCAGGCTCCAGCTTCCTTCAAAGAACTGACTCAGGACACATTAAGCCCCCAAACCCCTTCTTTCCTCCACAAGTTGCTTTTGGTTATGATGTTCATTACAGTACTGGAAACCCTAAGACATATATTAACATCTACACTCTAATAAATTAATATAATTATTTTATATGAATGCATTTTGTTTAGATTAAGCTTTTTAATTTAAAAATTACAATAACCTCAGCAAACTTGGAATTAATATATAATTTTATTTTATTTCTTTTGAGATGGGGTCTTAATATGCTTTTCAGGCTAGTCTTGAACTCCTGACTTACACAGACCCTTTTGCCTTGATTTCTTTTATAGCTGTAATCACCTGGCTAATACATTAGTTTTTGCTGAGTAATTTGCTGATAAAGTTTAGAAGTTAATGAACTGTACCGGAAGCTTCTGTTTTAAGACAGTACTCCTCTGTACATCTGGCTGGCCTAGTCTCAAAATCCTCCTGTCTTTGCCTCTCAAATCTGAGACTACAGGCTCGTTCTGTGACACCTGACGTACATTAGACTCGCCATCAATTGCTGAATAAGGCATCCTTACGTAACCAAAGAGCAATAAAATTCTAATATGTAGTATGTTTATATTTCTATGATCATCTCAATATTGTCCTTTATAGTTCCCCTCTCCACTGCCCATTCATGAGCCATAAAACAAGGCATTTTGTTGTTATATCTCTCTAGATTCCTCTAATCTGGAGCAAATTTTCAGTGTGCGTCTTTCATGATAGAAACAATGTTGAGGAAAACAGGCATGTTTACAGAAGGAAGCCTTTTAATTTGAGGCTATTTGATTACTTCCTCATGATTTGATTCATGTTATGAATATTTGGCATAAGTATAGAGGTGATACAGTCCTTTTTGGTGATAGCTGCCAGAGGAGACTAATAATTAGATGAGTTTGAGTTTTTGTTTTCTTTTTGAGCACCCCCTCTCCAACCCCTACCTGGGGACTAATCCCTGGGCCTTGTGGATCTCAAGACAAGCACTCTACCACTGAGCTATATCTTCAGGCCCCTGGATCTTTAATAAACCCCTAGATAGTGTTGCCATTGTTTGTCTATGGAGCACATTTTGAGTATCAAGATCTAAACCGGTAAGAAAGTTAGATAGTTAAGACATGTCTATTATTAAATGTCTAGAATAAATGAAAATAGAACTGGAGATATAGCTTAGTGGCAGGATTCTCCCCTAGCATGTGTAGGGCCCTGGGTTTGGGGCTCAGGACCACATATAAACAAAAAATCAAAAAACAAGCAAATGAAAGAAATAAAAATATTATAGCTGTTTAATTATTATAGCAATTTTCAAGTGAGAACATTTTAAAAGCTACTATGTTGAGCAATCACACCTGCCACTTACCTACTGGTTAATAGGATTGGAAGCTACTGGCTGCCAACAAGTTAAGTCAGGGTCAATCACAGAGATACAGTCATGGTTTTTATATACATACACATAAAACAGGATGCTGTAAAGGCATTTGGAGGAAGAATTAAAGGATTAAGTAGAAGCAGGAAAGCATAGAGATAGCTTACCAACCCCGGGATCATGTCTGGCTTGAGACCCATCTGCATCTAGCTGCATGTACATACCCTCTCCAAACAAAGCAGTTAGGTCACCCTGGCCTATACCTCCCTAGCAGTCCTTATTAGCTCTTCCTTTGTGGCCAAACACACCTTGAAACTTACTCTGAAACCAGAGGTGGAGGACCAGTCAGTCCACTCTACCTTGGTGCAGTAAGACAATCTATGTTCTAAACATGGAATTTTAAGGGAAAACCTCTATTTATGACCTTATGCCTATGTATACCTGGACATGTAGATAATTAAAATCAGATGCATCACAGGAAAGGGCATGCATTAGGAGGCAAGTTTACATAACCCAAGCTTATCAATCAAACAGAAAAGTACCCAAACCCCTCTCCTAGAAATCAACTCCTCCTCTTCTTCCTGGAAGCCACAGGCAGTAACCAGGTGCTCTGGAGCAAATTTCTCAGCGTCTGCTCTTCTTTTTCAGGTATCTACACTGCACATTCACTGTGCCTTTGAATGAAACTGTTTCTATTCTCGGAGCAAGATGATGACAACCTGGAAACATATGGTCCGGGCTGGTAACAAGACAACTCTCTCACCTTCTTTGGACATAGCATTCAAGGATATTACCTTTTTTTTTTTTCCGTGAAGAGCCAGATAATAAACACTTTGGGCTTTGTGGGATTCTATTACAACTATTTTACTCTGCCACTGTAACACTGATGAAGATGTAGTTAACAGACAAAAGGATGCGGTTAGGTTCCAATAAAAAAAGCAGAGTCTACTGTATCCAGGGTGGCCTCAAACTTGTTTGAACGACTAATCCTCCTGCTTCCTCCACCTCAGTGCTGGAATTAAATGTGCATACCACCACACATTTATTTGGTACTGGGGACTGAACCCAGGGCTTTTAAAAAAAAAAAAAAAGGAATGCAAATGCTCTTCTTAGCTCATAACAGGCAGACTTGGTTGTGGGTCACAGTGGTTTGCAGCCACTGGCTTAGAAGATGGAAGTCAGTTTCTCTTCTATTTGGTATTCATTTTCTTATAGTGAATCACCCGAAGAACAGAATGCTATTTCACATTGTTTATAACCTAGAGATATTTGAAGGTGCTCTCCTTAACCTTACTGATCTCTCTCTCTCTCTCTTTTTGAGGTAGGGTCTTCTATATAACTTAGGCTGGCCTAGAACTTGCAATGTTCTTGCTTCTACCTTCCAAGTGCTGAGATTACAGACCTGTGCCATCTTACACAGTTTTTAGCTTTGCTTTGGAGCTTAGCTTTCCCAGACAAACTTGCATCCTCATACCAAATTTATTTCCCTAGCAACATCAGGTGTCAGCTTCATCAGTAGAGCTCATTACAATCCAATACTGAAATTTACTAGACTAAAGAAAACAGAACCAGACAAAGACCTGAAACAATTTCATCAACAACAAACTCATCTAAGAAATTATCAAATTCATGATTAAATAACGGAATTCTATGCTGTCAAAAGGATACTGCTGCCATTAGAGAAAACAGTCAGGACTTACTGTATGATCCTGTTTACCATTCATTTGAACTATGGCTTGTTAAGAAATAATAAGACAACAAAAATGCCTTGTTTGTAAATTCATCTTGATGCAATAAAAAAGTGCTCAGCACTATGTTACAAAACCTTCTTTCTTTCTAAAATTCCTGGCTATCTTTTAGATCTTTGTACCACTAAATATACTTGAAGATTTACTAAAGATTGAAAGTGGACTAAATCATCTGGTACCAGACCAGTTTTTAGACCAGGTATCATTTTTATAACTCACCTAAAGTATTCTTTAGATGAGGTTAACATTTAAATCGGTAGACTTTGATAAAGCACATTTCCCCTCATAATGTCAATAGCCTTCAAACAAGGAGAGAAGACCAAAATTCTCAAAGTAAAGGGAAGTTTGCCTTTAGATGGCAGCATTAATCCTTCAACAGTCTGGAGTAACACTCTACCTTGTAGTTTTGATTTGGCAACCAATTAAAAGTTGAATGATCGGCTTCCTTAAAACAAATCCCTCTCTCTGTGTTCCTACATAGATACAAACACATCCTATTGATTCTTTTTCTTTGGAAAACTCTCACTAAAACAACATGTAGATTGGTCAAGGCCATTAAACCAGTCAGTAGGAGAGTGAGAATTTAAATGCAAGTATGCAGAACACAGGTACAATGCTCTTCGCTCTCTGGGCTCACTGGCTGCCGAGTACACAGTATAAAGCTGTTTACTCACCAAGTAGACGTTGCTTGCTGATTGCAGTGAGTAATACAGATGAACAACGAAAGGGCTTTTGCTCAGCGCCAGTGCATCTCTCTCAGCTTGTACCTGATGAGTCATGTTTTTATTGATCATGTCTGCTTTTTTGACAACCTATAATAGATAACGTGACAGCAAACACATTTACCCTCTTTCTTATTACTAAGTATTCAGAAGTTTCAAAGTTGTCATCATAAAAACACCAAGACAGGTAAAATTTATAGATGTCATTTAGATTCGACCAACATTAGGAAATTGCCAGAAAAATATCTCAGATGGTAAAACGAAGAAGAAAACATTGTTTTTAAGATAACACTGCTTGCCTTGGAATTAAACAGCAAAAGTACCATGTACTTGAGAAAGAAAAGGAATTAAAACACTTCATGACTGATTTGTATGTTTGTAGGAAAGCTTTATTATAACAAAGTCAACAGATAATAATGTTCCTAATAAGCCCACCCAATAAGCAGGGAGCTGGTTAGATAAATAGTAATATATGTTTATATGTATACATTTTAGCTCCTCATTCTTTAACAGAAAGGAATAGAGTAAAAATGTCAGGGACTGGTAAGATGGTCTGGTGGTTAAGAGTGTGTATTATTCTGCAAGAAGATCCAAGTTCAATTCTCAGTACCCATGTCAGAAGGCTCAGAACTGCCTGTGACTCCAGTTCCAAGGGATCTATAACACCTTGATCTCTACAGGCATCCACATACGTAGCACACACATACATATACATATGATCATTCTTTGATAGAGGGGAATAGAGTAAAAATGTTGGGGGCTGGAGGGACGGCTGATTGGCTAAAAGTATTTGTTGCTCTTATGGAAGACCTGTGTTTGGTTCCCAGCATCCGTATGGTGTCTCACAACCATCTGTAACTCTAGTTCCAGGGAATCCAACATCCTTTTGTTGCCTCCTTAGGTACCAGGTATGCGTATGGTGCACATACATATATTCAGCCAAAATGCTCACACACGTTAAGTAAAGAAATTGAAAAAAATCATTTTTTAAATGTTGGAAGTCTATTTACCTCAGGAATGATGAAATCTGGTCATGGTGGTACTTGCCTGTAATATCAGCATTTAGGAGGCTGAGGCAAGCCTGGACCACAGAGCAAGACTCTAATTTGAAAAATACAAAACAAAACAAAATACAATTCTGAAATACTCTCAAATGCTGCCTTATAGAAAAATCTGAGCTCTATCCCCATCCTTATGCTCTAAGACTGGCTTTGAATTGACTCTGTAGCTGAGGATGCCCTTCAATTCCCAATCCTCCCTCCCATACCTCACAAGTGTTGGCAGTACAGGTGTGTGCCATCACCTCTGGCCAAACCACACCTTTTAAGTTTCAAGGTAATTGGTATAAAAACAAAATTATACATTAAAATTGGAGCATCAGATGAAATAGTAACATTGGGATCATATAATTTTCAAAGAATAATGAAAGTATTAAAAAACCAATTGGGATCAATGCTTATTACTATTATTTAAAAAAGCACTCATTAAAGTGTTTAATAAAATGACTAGTACATGATAAATTCTGGCCTTACCTCCTTTCCTTAAGAAAACCAAGGGGAGGGCTAGGGATATAGATCAGTGGTAGAGCACTTGCCTAACATGGGTAAGGCCCTAGGTCTGTCCTTCCTAGCACTGTAGAGATAAAGCAAGCCTACAACATGATTCTGCCTGTCATCTTCCTGAATTGGCAGAAGCTCCACGAAGGCATGTTTGTTTTGTTTACCACTATATCCCAGATCCAAATAGATTTATTTATTGGACAGATTAATTGGTGTTTTTAGATCAACAATTAATGATTGCTTGAGGTGTAATAGAAGGAAAAGCAGTTAAGAAGGAACCAGAATAAACAAGTTTTGAGTCATGAAAAATAATTCATGGCTTTGAGTGATCAGTTAGCTGTCTGGGTGTTGCTAGAACACAGGTTATGTGGAAAACACAGTGGAGATCTAGGGCCAAAAATTGGGAGTATGACTGACTTTCTAAGTACTCTGGATTTTGGCCTGCATGGCACAACCTAAGAATGGATTAAAAATAAAAATAATGATTCTAGTTAAGGGACTATTTCAGTCAACTAGGTATAGAAATGAAGGCCTGAGGAACCTCAAACCACCAGGCAAATAAAAAAAGAAAAAAAATAAGATGCAAGACTATAGATTGTATGATTTATGTGAAATGTCCAGAAAAGGCAACCATGCAGAGACATTAAGTGAATTGGGGCACAGGGCATGTTGGCACAGGCCTGTATTCCCAGCACTTGGTAGACAGAGCCAGAAGCATCAGTAGTTCAAAACCAGCTACATTATAAGTCTAAGCCTATTTGGGGCAAATTTGGGTCAAAGAGAGAGAAAGAGAGGAGAGGGGGCAGAGAAAGGTTAGCAGTTATCTGCTGATGTATTAAAAGAGGTACTACGAACAGGCAGAAAAGGTCATTTCCTGGGCTATGGAACTATCCTTAAAATTGGATTGTGATGATTATTACACAACTATTTAATTTACTAAAATCACTGAACTGCACTTTTATAAACAAATAAGTGAGGAGAAATGAGGGCGTGAACATAGCTATTCATTTGGGAATGGAAATTAAAAATAATATCTTCCAGAGGGAGACCAGGAACATTAAAAGATATGCTACATGGTTGAAATATAAGAAAGTTAAAATGCCTCAAGTTTCTAGCCTAAAGAGTAGGAATGACGTTGGTGCTGTTAAAGGAAGAGAAGGCTACAGGAGCGACAATCTTCAGGCAGTCAGCCAAAGAGGACTGCTTACCCTGTGTGTGCTATTCACCAAGCACTGCACACCAGAAATCTGAACCTGTCAATAGTCTGCTTTCCTTTGTTACTTTCACTCGGTACCGAAATGTGAGTAATCTGAAACTCCGGGAGTGGCTGAGAACCAAGACTGAACAGAACAATTTTACCTGCATTTGGCTGCTTCTAAGATTACATATAGATAATGAATGCTGGATTTAGGACACATTTCTTATCACTTTGGAAAATTTGAAAAGCAAAAATGAGGTTTAATGAGATTTTTGTTTGTTTGTTTTTTTCAAGACAGTTTCTCTGTGTAGCTTTGGAGCCTGTCCTGGAACTCACAGAGATCCGCCTGCCTCTGCTTCCCGAGTGCTGGGATTAAAGGTGTGTGGCACCTCTGCCTGGCTTTAATGAGGTCTTTTGGTTGTACAGCACTTGGTCCTGCCTATTAATCTATTATCAAATGGATGGAATAAAAACATAACCTGAAAGTGGCTATTACAAGCTTAATGAAAGTACCAAACTTAATCCTGGCAAAGCCAAACTTAGCCAAAAAAACAAAACAAGTCCAGATGACACATAAAATAAACAACACTATAATTAAACATTTCACAACATAAATCTCAGAACAAAAAAAAATAAAATAATGCAGCTTTCTCTTGGTAAAAGTGGAATTCGAAATTAGTGTCTACAAACTAATCATCTTTGTGATAGCAAAATTCCTTACGTCAGAGCAAACAAGAAAAACCTAATCAACAGGTACTTAAGGCCTTTTGGATTTTGAAACGACTCAGGAATCACGGCTGTGGCTTCAAGTCTCTTCATGTCTAGCCTCAGTTTTCTCATTTGCTAACACTGGCCAGGACAAAGTTGGACACGTTTTGCTACTTTCACTGAGTAGTGACTCTTAGGGTACAGGAAAGAAGGGCAGGGTAGGCAAAGGAGAAACACCTGCTCACTGCAGTCAGCCCAGACGCAGCAGTCAGCCCGCAGGACTGTGCAGGCTTCTGCAAGCAGGGCCATCCAGTCTAGTGCTGCAGCAGCCCCAGAGCCTGTCCAACAGCGCAGGAAGGAGGTCAGTAGGGGAGGACCGTCGGAGACCCTCCGCCTTCTCGACTTCCTACCTTCACTGCGTACAACTTGCCGCCTTTCTGTCCCAGGTACACTTTCCCGAATGCACCGCGGCTAATGGGCTTCACTATGGTGAACTCCTCAATGGAGGGTGGTCTTGGCACCGGGATTCTATTCACGCACTCCTCTGTCGCCGCGCCTCCTTCAGTCTCCTCACTCCCCGGAGTGGACTCCATAGCCGGCCAGTCCGCCGCACCCGCAGCCCGCGACTCCCGCCAACTAGATTCAAAAGAAGCTTCGCACACGCCCGGCGCCTCCCGTGACGTCACCGCGCGGCTGCGCCCGGGCGGCTCCCTTGAAGTAGGCATCGATGGGCGGGGCCAGCGGGGCGCTGGGCGGGGCCGGCGGGGCGCTGGGCGGGGCTCCGGCTGGGTGCTGGGCGGGGCTCCGGCTGGGTTCGGGTTCGGCCGGCTCTGTACCGTGGGTGCCCGGCCTGTGTGTGACGGGGTGGCGCGGTTGCTGGCCAACGAGCGGAGGGACTCCTCAGATTTTAATGCGGGTCGAGTCCGGTGGGGTCCTTCCAGGTCCCAGCCAAGATCTGCAGTTCTCCCTCCCTCCGCGTGAGCTAGGAACCAGGCCGACTGCTAAGTGAAGCCATGGCTAGGGAGGAGGTGTGGAAGCTAGCCAAGTCACAGAATGTGGAGAACCTGGGTGAGCGGGAAGCGCGGTTGACCCCGTACTGAATTCAGAAACGGACTAGGAGCGACTAGAAGACCATCCAGTTTATTGTGGAAACAAACAAACAAGCAAAACAAAACAAAACAAAAAAAACCCAACAACCCCCGTAGAGGAAAAAACTACCGGGAAGAGGCAGAACGCTGACGGGGGTCGGGGGTGGGGTGAGCGTGGGGGCGTTCACTTGCTCCGGAAGTACTGTTTCGTGAGCCTCTGGTCTTCCGGGGCAGATGTCGTCGTAGCAGCTGTAGGGAGGGGAAGCCATTTTTTGTTTCTGGGAAGAGTAAGGAGGAAACCGGGAGAAAAGCGAGGGGGAAATAAAGAGAGAATAAAAGGGCTCAGCCCTTTTCCGCTGAACCGAAGATAGGAAGCAGTTTCGGCTGGTGGGTAAGGTCCCGAGGGCCCAGAGATGTTCTCCCTGTCGAGCACAGTGCAGCCCCAGGTGAGCACAGCATTTAGTCGTTTTCCTGCGGCCCTTTTTTTTTTTTTTTTGCGACTGTGTTCCGGATGCTGTCGTAGAATCAGTTTTTCTGAAGCAAAGTAGAGAGGGAAGCGACGAACCCAGTGTGAGTCGCGGGCTGAAAGTAGATCAGGGGACAATGCTGAGAGTATGACCTGAGACTTAAAAGGGTTGGCAACCGAGCATCAGAGGGCAGAGGCGTGATCTTATGGTGGCGGAGACCATAGCTTGGCCGAAGGCTTGCACAGCATTTCTGTTAAGAGAATTCAGGCATTGTTTAGGGGGTGTACATTCTGAGATGGCTTGTGAAGTCTACGCGAGAGGTGAAGAGGACATGTAATGTTCTTTCCATCTTCCTCTTTCTGAAACACCCTTTTTTCCTTCAAGCAGAATTTAGCTCAAACATACCCTAATAATTTGAATAGCCATCATAATTTCTTTCTTTCTGGCCAGAGTTAACTCGTGTACATTTTTGAGTCATCATATTCTTACTATTAAATATTTAAAAAATTGATTTATATTCCATATTTTTGGATCTTTTTCAGGACCCAAATTGTGTTAATGTTTTTTCCTTGATTCATTATTTTTTTTTGGGGGGGGGAATGATAGCAGACAATGGTTTTTAAGAACTTTCAGGCCGGGCGGTGGTGGCGCACGCCTTTAATCCCAGCACTCAGGAGGCAGAGCCAGGCGGATCTCTGAGTTCAAGGCCATCCTGGGCTACCAAGTGAGTTCCAGGAAAAGGCGCAAAGCTACACAGAGAAACTCTGTCTCGGGGGAAAAAAAACAAAAACAAACAAAAAAAACCTTTCAGATTCAGGCCGTTTTAATTAATTAGTTAATTTATTTTATTTTACTTTGTTTTGTTTTTGTTTTGTTTTTCGAGACAGGGTTTCTCTGTGTAGCTTTGGAGCCTGTCCTGGAACTCTCTTTAAAGACCAGGCTGACCTTGGACTCACAGAGATCCGCCTGCCTCTGCCTCCCCAGTGCTGGGATGAAAGATGTGCGCCACCACCGCCCAGCTTATTTTACTTTTTGAGGCAAGGTCTTACTGTGTCTCTTTGCTGGTGTGGAACTCAGAGATTAGCCTGCTTCCGAAGTACTGGGATCAATAGCTCCCACCACCACCTCACCAGCTGCACCCTCAACTTCTTATCTTAACATGATTATTCCAGCCAGGCTTGGTGCAGGCCTTTAATTCCTTGACTTGGGAGGCAGAGGCAGGCAGAGAGAGTCTAGACAAGCTTACATAGAGAGAACTTGTCTCAAAAGACCAACCAAAAAAAAAAGATTATTCTTTAATTCCTATTACTCCGCTTGCTTTTTTGTGTTTCTATGATGTTGACTGACTAATAGAGAATGGAATTAATTTAGCTGCTGCTTGAGCAGTAAGAGAACATAGCATATATAGATTCCCACTAGTGGTTGGAAGGAAGGGTGAACAGTAAACAGGAATTTCAGGCAGACAAAAATATAAAGCATAAAAAGTCCTGTGAACAACGAGAGTGAGGCCAGTGTGGCAGGAGCGCAGTGATTGGAGGGAGTGGTGTCGGAGAGCAAGTTAGAGCCTCGGGGCAGTTAAGGGAGTTGATTTGGTTTCTGTGACCAGATTTTCATTTGTAGGCTTTCTCTGGCATCTTGTGTGGAAAATACGAGAGGGCAAAAGTGGAAGTGTTAGCGATTTAAGGATGCTGTTGCCCTAACCCAGGAAAGGGATGCTGTCCCAATAAAGTGATGTCAGTAATTATGGAAAATAAATGGATGTGTCTAGTGTGCCACCTCTAATTCCAGACTTGAGGGAGGGGGCAAGAGGATTAGGAATTGGCAGCCAACTTGTCCCAGGTGGAAAAAATAGAATTTCACTTGGTTTTTAGTGTGGGAGACGGTGGAAAGTGATGTTTCTGTTTTGGTCAGCCTGATACAGGATAATGGCTGTTTTCTAAGATGACAGTGTCGGGGAAGCTTTAGTGATTGAAAAAGCAGTCTGATAGGGGCTGTTGAATATAATTTTAATTAATTTCTATCAAGAAGACATGGTGAGTAATTTACTGTCATGGAGTAGAAGATATAACATGGTAGAAGGGTAAAAGAGAGCCAGGCGGGAAACCCACTCTGGTGACAGCATCAGTCTGTTCCTAAGGACAGGACTTCCGGGACCTAAAGCCTTGTTCCTTTGGGTTTCATAAAACTGAATCTCCCTGTGTAACACAAAGCGATTGGCTTGTAATGTGCTATCTTCTAGCTAAACACCTCCTACTTACTGCTGTTATAATGGAAGCTGAACTCAGCATGAATTTTAAAGGGAATATGCCTTCAAATCACAGCAAGATACAATAGTAGCTAATTTTTATGTCACAGAGACTAATTATTTAAATTATGAGGCTTGGTATATACTCAGAACCATTATTTTATTCATTCAACAAAACACATCTTTATTATTCCCTGTATACACTGTTATGTTGGAATGCAACATTGAATACTAAAATAGAAAAAAATATGGGGTTTATCTTTTAATTGGATAATATGATACTTATTAATTTGATTAATATTAATCATATTAATAAATACTTAATTTTATGGTCTTCCTGGTTACACACTTCTGTGAAATTCTTAGAATTTCTTGAATTATTAGTAATCATAAGCCCTCATGGATTACATCTGTGTTTGTCCTAATGAGGTGATCTGAATCTGCAAATAACCTCAGAGTGGGACTAGTCAGACCAGATAATTTCAGCATACTGTAATTCCCCATCTTCAGGCAGTAGTTGAGCTGCTAGGTAGTACTGCCATGTGGAAGAGGGTTACATCATAACTCCAGAGAGGATGTTCTCTGCTAGGTGTTCTCTCTAGGCCTGTCCAATATACTACTTTTTGTTCATTTCTGCTTCTTCTTATAGATGGGTAAATGTAAATAAAGTGTTTTCATGTATTCTTTGAGCCGTTTCTAACCCAGAGAGCAAAGGAACACATAATGAAGGGAGGTAATAAAGAACCAAACTGGAGAAGATATTCAGGTTCTACAGGTATTAGATTTTAAGCAGAAGAGTGATCTCACAGACTTTGATTTGATCACTTTTATCTCGTGCTGGGGAATGTGTTGCAATTGGGTAAGGGCAGGATTTAGGACAAGATGGTGGCAGTGAAGAAGTACAAAATCAGAAAAGTCAGATATGGACTTTTGCTTTTAATGTTGGTGAAGTATTCTGTGAAAGTGACTTTTATTTTGCTACTTCCCTCGTGGTAATGCTCTCCAGCTTTTCATTTACTTTAAAACTATGTTGGTAAATATTGCCCTATTAGTGTGCATGCATTTGCCAAATTATTTCTTTAGATTAAATTTCTAGAAAGTAGACTTTGGAGGATGAAAATATATATATTTCAAAATAATTAATTGTTGTGACATGGTCACTGTGTAGTCCTGGCTGTCCTTGAACTCTTTGTAGACCAAGCTAGGCTTGAACTTAGAGATCTGCCTGTCTCTTCCTCCCGAGTGCTGGAATAGAAAGTATATTCCACCATGCCTGTCTTCTAATGTATCCAGAATAGTATCATGAAAGAATAAACCAATTTTCTTTCTACCTTTGGTAAATGAGGATGGATAATTTTTAATGTCTAGTTTTTTGTTTGTTTGTTTTGTTTTTGCATGTGTATCATGTGTATCGGTGTTTACTCTATCTGTGCCAATCTTTTTGGGTATGTGTTTTGAGTGTTTGGTGCTGGATCTCAAACCTAGACCATCCTCCATGCTGAGCATAGCTCTACCCCTGAGCTTACCCATAATTTTGACATGTGGTGTATGTTTAACTTTTAGCAGATCCTAAATCCTGACCAGAAAAAAGATTGTTTCTGTTATTTTTTTTAAACATGCCGCTTAATTTGAACTTTGACCTTTTTTTCTAGGTTACAGTTCCTCTTAGTCATCTCATCAATGCCTTCCATTCACCAAAAACCGGATCTGTTTCTGTCAATACGTCTGTTTCTCAAAAACGTCATCGAGATACAGTTCCTGAGCAGGACACTCCCAGTAGTGAGGTAATAGTTACCTGAACTAGTTTTTTTGGTTTTTCTCTGTGTAGCTTTGGCACCTTTCCTGGAACTCACTCTGTAGACCAGGCTGGCCTCGAGCTCACAGAGATCCACCTGCCTCTGCCTCCTGAGTGCTGGGATTAAAGGTGTGCACCACTACCACATGAGAAAGCTTTTTGATATGGTGAATTTTAATCATATTTGGTCATTTAGGCATTTGTACCAATGCTTTCTGCTTTTGGCTTAATGTTTGTAATTAAAGGTAGTTAATTCTGGTTTTTGTTGTACGTATTAAGAGTATTAATTTATTTGATTGTTGTTTTAAAATATTTATATGACATTGTATTTGGTATGTACCTCCCACATTACTCCTTGTTGATACCAATTAGTTTTTCTTCTTTTTAAATAAAAAGTCTTAAAATTTTTTTTAGTTATTCATTTTTATTTTGTATATATTAATTTTTGCATGTATGTATATTTGTGTACCACGTACATCCTAGTGTCCATAGAGGTTAGAATAGGTGTCAAATCCCCTGGAACTGGGTACTAGAACTGAACTGAACCCTGGTCCTTTGCAACAGCGGAAAAGGGGCTCTTAACTGCTGAGCTATTTCTCCAGCCCCTTTTCTTCCTTTTAAAAATAAAATTGAAAAAATTGACATTTTCA